TCACTTAAGTCAAGTGGTCATCAATTTCTTCTTGTTTGTAACTCTTTTAGACACTTTCATTGCCTTAGTAAGTCAGGAAATACTTCAAAATTTCAAGAATGTTTCTTTGTTCTTGATTACAGACTCTACAGCTATTGGCTGATTGCCCCAGCAACTGTCCAATCATGAAGAAGGAACTGGGCATGCTCATAAGCCTTCAGGATATCATGGACAAGTAAGTCAAAATGTCTCCCAACGTAATCACAGATTTGTACTTTCTGTTATTTTTTTCTTTCTTTGCAAGTTGTCAATCATTTTCTTCAAGATTGACTCAAACATGTTCACAAATTAAAAATGTATCTTAAAAAGTTAAAATATTGTGGGTTTTTTTTCTGTGCTTAGATCAAAGTACAGTTTGAGAGCACAGAATTTAGCAAGAGACATCCATGACAGATTAACGACCCCACCCAGCCCCAGTCCCCTGAAGGAAACCCAGAACACGACCCAGCACAGACCAGTGCCCAAGTGCAAGGAAAACAAGGCCTTCTTCCTAGGCTCGACCAACAGGAAGGGGAAAGTTGTCACGCTGCAGTTGAACGGACTAAATGATCAGGTGAGACCTTAACGGGATAAGCCATTTGCGAGTTAAATTTGAATAAAATCTGGTACACTGAGTTATCTGATTGCACATTAACAAAACAATTTGAATTCCCTAGACTAAAGGCACTGTTGCTATACCTTGTGATTCGGGGCAAGCTTTTGCATAGCAACCACCATCTCTGGAATGCGCAGATCACAAAATGTTCATGTAGTTTTGGATGCAATCTAACAGTCTGTGCATTTATATGTACACAGAACTAGTCTGTGGTACATTCGGATTAAACACAAAAGAATTTACCCAAACCAAATAGCGCCCCCTATTGTGTACGCCATATCTCAAATAGGCTAATCGTTACCATCTTGCAGCAAACTTCATGCAACCATGTCTCAGACCAGACTTAAAGTGACCTTTAATTCTGTTTGTTTCAACAGGAACAGAGGAAGGCCTGTGAGGACGAACTTCTCAAAGTCAAAGGGGTGATCAGTTTTACCTTTGACCTCTTCAGAAAGAGATGTATTTTAAGAACAAAGGCTGAACTCAAACCAGAGGTAAAGATTGAAATGACAAGCGTTGGGAAGAGTTAGAGCCAACACTTAAAAACACTATTGTAACAAAGTAGGCCTACTGTAATCTGAAATCCTATGCATTTCAAATTCTGTTCTCAAAGTTGTTTTTTTCTCCTCGTTAGGTTCGGGTTATAGCTAGGTAATATGTCCCACCAACCTTGATACGAGAATTACATTCGAACATGCAAAGTTGTTTTGTGTGTGATTTTGTTTTTTACCAAACAATGTGCCAAGATAAAGATTTGCCTCTAAGAAGCGTCCAAGTGTCTGACAACGATAAAATTTTCTGACGAGAAATTTTAGTTGATGGTCTTCCAACATTATGAATTTAAATGACATAAGTAAATGAATATATGCAGATATATTTTATATTTGTCTTACGTATTGTTTTGAGAGTCATCCTAATGAACTCACAAATTATTAAAACATGATTGAATGTCCGTTTTCCCACAGCTTCTTATAGCAGCGGTTGCACGGACAGAGACGATGTCTGCCAAGCAAGTCCTCAAGAATGAGTTTGGAGAAGAGGTGAGTAAGCACAGCACTCGCATAAGACAGCACATTATGCTGTAGTAGGCGAGGACATGTTTGAAGTTGGCAAGCTTTGAAGGGTTAGAACCGTTAAAGCAGTAAACTGCCAAGTATTAACATTACTGAAGGACATTTGAGATGCTTTGCCACTGTGCAGTGATGCTCCACATCATTGGCCTCATGCTGAGATTTATCCTGGTTTTGTGCACATTCTGCCGAAAATTTGCACTCTTCACCATACTTCCATGCATACTTTTTCCTTCACCAGCTCTGGTGAATTCATCAGACAATCCTGAAATAGAGTCTAGTCAATCACAAATCAAATCCCACTGAAGTCGGACCAAGAGTAAAACAGGTAATCAACAAATCCGTGGGATTGGAATGCGACGTCTTTACCAGGATTTATCTAATAAATTAACTTACGGCTGGAAGATTTTCACTTATCGTCATTCAACAATCAGTGAAGACTTGATTGCAACTCCGCAGTATCATCTGCATTTCCTGCTTGGACTGGGGTTCACCTATGATCTGAACCGCTATACCATTATCATTTACTCTCAGGTGTTGCTATCCTTCGGCGCTGACCCAGCCACCGCCGATAAGGAGAATGCCTCCCGGCCAGACTACCTCCCCGAAGACGACAGTCCAGTCAGGGGACTGGACAAGGCCGTGGTGCGACAAGGCAAAGCGGAGCAGCAGCCAAAGACCAGCTGGCTGAGCACGGCCGCGTCGTTCATCTCAACCAGCTTCTACTGGTGATCGCTGGGCGCTCGTTTAAAATCTTGTACATGTTTGTAAATGAGTAGAATCGTATGGAGTCAACATCTGTTACGTTGGAAGTTTATCCCGCGGTTCCAACTGTGGCCGAAGAAGTGAGGCTGCAGTGCATTGTGCAGCACACGAGCAAAGCATCTGTGATTCAGCACAGGTGTAAATGGAACGCAAGTGAATTTGTTCCTTTGATGTAACATTTTACATATTTTGAAAACTAATTCTTTTGTTTTTTAATAATTATGGCCATTTTCCTTGGAACGTGTTAAAGTACACACAGTAATGGAGGGAAGTACAGTGTGATAGAAAATGATTTTGGGTTTGTATTGAAAAAAATTTAGGGAGGCTTGTTTGCTACATATCTGAACAACTAATGAACCTTTGCACAAAGAGACCCTTTGCGAAAAGATGTTGTAGCAGCGTGACTACCTTTCGATTCACAGTGCAGTTCTGTCTACATTCTGTAAGCCATCATTCAGGCAAGCTGTCTAGTGTGCGGTATTTTGGGAAGCAGCGGGCCCAGCCCTCCCATTTCTGGGAGTCTTAAATTGCACCTGTAGTAATTTGGGGCCAATTTCATAGAGCTGCTTAAGCACAAAATCTGCTTAAGCGGGAAAAAACTTTACATACTAAACAAGGGTTACCAGCTAAAACTCTATTTTCATGCTAACCAAAAAATAGCTAAATACAATCCCAAAACATTATACATAACATGGAGTTTTGGCTGGTTACCTGATTTATTGAGCAAGGTTTTCCGCGCTTAAGCAAAGTTTGTGCTTGAGCAGTTCTATGAAATTGGCCCCAGTACCTGAGGATTGGCACCTACAATTTACATGTGCCTTGGCAATAGAGGGTTTGCATAGCTGACACCTTACAGGTCAGTGCTTTTGTTCTACAAGGTATGCACAAAAGAGGTTTCCCTGTGGAACAAAAGAACTGCCCTGCAAGATGGCTACCAGGCAAAGCCTATATTGCCGCACACCGGTTTAGGTTTAGCTTTTTAACAGTTTGTATTTTTAACATTTTTGGTTATTGATCACACATGTAAGAAATCCAAGTATCCCCTGTACATGTATATGTTAATTTTCACACAAGTTCCCCCCCCCCGAGTTTGAAATTGTAAATACACACAATGTTAATCAATGCATAATTTTAATAAATTTGCGACTTCAAAGGAATGAAACGTTTTACACAAAAATGTCTCTTTATTCATACACACCGCAATGAAACAATCTTCATAAATACGTGTACATGCATAACTTTCTCATAAATACATGTACATGCATAACTTCCTCAAAAATACTCGGCCCTTATAAGCAGCGTGGCTACTTTTCCCTGGTTAACCAGTGCAATGCCAAATATGCCTGTAGAGAGGGCAAATATTTAAATCCCAAGGACTTTTCTCCCTTTGAAATGTGCTGTACACGGAGTGCTGAAATTCACTTTTCTTCAATTGAACATTCTCGACTATCTTGAAAATTACTTCCAATCAGATAGCCCCCTCCCCCGCCCATCCACACAGAAATCCGTCAGATGGCCAAAATGGGATGAAAATTAATACACTGTGCATGCGCAGGCTGTCTAACACTGGTCGCTTTGAGAAAACGCTCAGAGGAAAAGAAGCGAAACCAAATATCACAAACAGAAAAACAAGTCTTGGCAACGTGAAATGTTTACTCCCAACAATGGAGTAGGACAAGACTAGACTGTACGATAAATTGACATTCAAGATTTTCCAATGACCTCACGTTCAATATTCAAATTCAAAGTCGTGGAACTGCGGGTCAAAGGTGTGTATTCTAACGTAGCCGTCTTCCCCTCCGCTGCTGTACCTGTAAGCCAAAGACCAGAAATAATCATATTTCAATTTTCAATTTCTGCAAATGCATAGCTTCGACCTTGCAAGAACTGTGAAGACGACAGGTGTTTTCTCACTTGAAGAAATTTTTTTTTTTTTTTAAATTCAATTTAACTTCAAATCATTCTGAATTGGAGGAATTATTTTTTTACAGCTTGAGGTTTATAAGCCTCTGGGTTCTCTCTTAATATTTTGGTTCTACAAACTCTAACGTGACAATGAAATCAACTTGATGAAAAGAAAGATGCATAGATCTGTAGGAAATTCTAAAGTAATTGCTGACCTCTCAAGACAAAGTTAATGCTTTAATCAATGAAACTGTTTCCTTTCAAGAACTCACCCCATTCCGTCGGGGGAAAAGGCCAGGCTGTTGATTGGTCCAAAGTGACCTTTGACCCTGCCGAACTCCTCCTCAAAGATAAGGTGGAAGAAGCGCGCATCAAACTTGCCGATTCGGGACGAGGTCGTGGTGACGTCCATGGCTTCCTGACCTCCGCCGAGAACAACCTGTCACACCCAAACACAGCCGCGTTCATGTTACTCTTCTGGTTCATTCCAACTGTCAACTCGCAAAAAATCAATCCTTTCTGACAGCTTGTTACCCAAAAAATATGGGTGCCAAGGATTGGTTAACGGCACAGGTTACAAAGGTTTGGTAGAAGCCATATTTGTGCAAGTCCGTCAAATATTTCAAATAGTCTGTGCTGTTTCAAGAAAACAGAGCATTGTTGTGGATCACGGAAGACAATGCTTAGTTTATAGGTTTTTCCGTTCCAATTAAGAACCCCAAATTTGCTCATTGAAAATATTCCTAAGGGTTTGCTTGTCAATATGGCCCTGTACTCAACCAAACCTGAATCGTCAGAAAAAGGGAATGCCCAGCAGCAAAATACCACAAAATGGCCAGCAGTGTTTTGTGCACAAATCAATGCAACACTGAAGATTTGCTCCCTGGCATGACATCACAGTTTTGCTGACGAATATTGAAATTTGCATAAGCATAAAAAACCAAAACTATCCTTTCAAATGCAAACAGAAATTTCAAAATAAAAAAGAAAGGTGGATTTTCGTAGACTTTTAAGTACAGTGCATGTAATTGCATCGCATGTCATGGACCCAAGTCCACACATCATCCATCAGATGGGTTGTATCAATGACTCACGTGGTCTTTGTTGGGCGATATCGACGCCGAGTTGACTGGTCTTTCTGTCTTGTAAATCTTTAGGAGCTCCAGCGTGTCTGCATCGAACAGCTTGGGAACAAACATGGACATACAACTTTACTTGCCATTACAGAGTAGAAAAATAGCGTATTAAAATAAACACTTCAGGGAGGTAAGTCTTCAAATCAATAAAATATAGTTTCACAGTCGCGTTGCACGGCTTTGGTAAGTTAATTATTCTTACAATCACATTATTATGTTTTTGTATACATGTACATAGCAAAACTGTTACCTAGCAAGTGACTCAACCTGACAATATATTAACACAAACCATCCCAAATCCATTCCCCTTTGGGGGAAATTTTGAGGGACTTGATCCAAATGGCCTGAGGTGACCAAATGTTGACGGATTATGATGGACTTATAGTCCCGGAGGCCTGATTCACGGCTGGGTTATTTGGTGCATGTTGTCATGGCAACAGTGACAACGCATTTAGCCACATGTAATGAATCCATCAACAAAGACCATCACCTGTGGATTGCACAGGGAGTGTTGGATTTTGATAGATTTGGTCTGGTGCCTTATAAAAACAGGAGGGAGTTTCAGCTTCCAGTTATAAGTCACCAGACCCTGTTGAGTTGAATGACATCAAAGAGAATCTTGTAAAAATTATGTAAAATCAAATCCTCGACATATTTCACTCTCATAATGTCCATTCTGTCCAAGCCGAGTCATACATCAAAGCAAAGAGCCTGGTTTACTCTTTTTTCTGCAAACAAAAAAATTTCAGGGACAAAACTGGTCTAAAGTTTTGTTATGCGGGACACATGCAAATGAGTTAGTGTAACGTCACATCTCACGAAAGAAAAAAAATAGTCTTAACATCTTCTCACTTTTGCTGTGTTGTCTTTGGAGGCTGTGATCACCATCATACCATTCTTAGATGGCTGGATATCGTTGATTAGACGGCTATGCTCCTGCACACTGTGAATCTTCTCTCCGGTCTAAAAACGTTTCAGAAATTAACGAAAAGTCTGTAATGACATTCAAAATGTAGTGTTGCCTAGGTCACAAGGCTGGCCCAATCAGAGCAGCCATACACCAACTCACACGTTAGGGTTGCACAGCCAGTGTGGATTTTCCTTTTTTTTTGCGTAGTTCAGAAAACTCGATGGAAATATTTGTTTCTTGAACTGCGAACACTTGAGAGCTAGATTACTGAGGATTTCCTTAAACTGCTCCTTTTCATTTTGTGATAAATCATCCTGATCCCAAAATGCCGCTACGCATACTTTTCAGAGGGGGAACACTTGTGTGGACATGGGCAAGTCCACAAAAGTTCGTCACTACCCGCACTGTGTGGACAAGGTGGCCTTTTTCAATCTTGTTCCCTAAATCTCTTTCATCAGTTTTGTACCGCCGATTAGGATGGCTCCAGGCTATTTTATAATGTGGCCTGCATTCCAACTGTCCCTTTCAATGTTTTTCAAAATCTGGCTTAAAAACATGTTTAAGTTTAAGCACAAATTTGAAATTGTTCATCACAGTAAACAAGTGCTAATTTGACATTTTATGGCTTTCATTTTTACTCTCAAGTTCCAAAAATGAAGGGTATACTTCACTTTCAATTTCAATATGGCTGACCAATGATTAACTATGAAATACACAAGTAGGTTTACAAAGACATGTGGCACACTTGGCATTTGTCAATGGTCACACTAGTCAAACAAATATATATACTTCAAGTTCTCCAAATCAAATACAAAAGTAGTAACGTTCAGCTTTAGGCGCTGTGATTAGAATCGTCATGTTCCGTAACTGGTAAATAGCGCCCTCTGTAGCAACTGCACAAGGGCAGATACACACCTCCATTTCCCACTTGATCAGTGTTCCGTCATCATGACCGGTCAGGATGTATTTATCCAGTCTGCTGGCGATAGCGCTGGTCACCTTGGGCATGGAGACAGGAATCTTCATGTACGGCTCGTTGTCTTCTGTCGAGTCAAAACACGGAACGGACAAACGTTTAACACCAGAATTCACAGACTGGAGTATTGTTGTATGGGACCTTACTTTCAAGTCAGTGAACCTGAACGTTAACCGACTCTGTGCTAACTTTAAACCTCAGTTTAGTAAATTTCAGAGCAAATAATCCTGCACCTGGGCCAATTCACAAAATGAATGGTTCATGAAATATTTAGCATAGGAAATGGTTAACAACTTTAATATTTCTTGTATTATAATCCCACCAGTTATGAACTTACTCATTTGTTGGTGGTCACGCACGTCGTACATGAATATCTGGCACATGTGGCCCATGGCCTTGTCGGTGGAGAAGAACAGCGTGTTTCCGCTGTATGTGAAACCGCACGTCCTCACCGCAGACTGTGTGTGGAATATGTTAATGCATTTCCCTGTGGGGACAATTCAAAAATCGACAGCCGTTTTACGACTCTACCGAGCACGACAGGTTACACATGTGAGTTTCTGTTATCTTGCTCTTCAGTTGCCTAGGTTCGAATCCCATTCGGGGCAAAACGTGGATTGGTTTCAACTGCCCGGTTCATGTGATATTTCTGGTAATGAAACCGAGGATTCTTCAAAAGCGCCCTAGGCGCTGTTGGCTCGGAAGCCTGAAGAAACCTGTAGAGGGGAGGCAGTGAGAAGAAGTTACAGTTTTAGTGTTGGGAGGAAAACCCCAGAAGAACGTTCCAGGTGAAACCAACCAAATCAAGCAGGGAATTGAAAACCTAATCCAGACGTGGACCAAGCCGGGAATCGAACCCGGACCACAGAGGTGGAACGCGACTAGGCGGGGAAAGAACCTGATTCCCCTCTCAGATGGAAGGTGTTGATTTGCTGCCCGACTGATTTGAGCCTCACCTGTTTCACAGTCCCACAGTCTACTGCTGTTATCGCCAGCACCGGTCAGCACCTTGGTTGTACTCCCTACATCTAACGTCAAGGAACAAGTTCACAAGTACACCATACGCTGACAACTTTATGATTGCTTTTTCCAGTTGAATTCTCTATCTTACCTTCTTCATTTTTCAATTAATGGAATGGATTCTTTTAAAAGTATATCAGTTGTAAAGCAAGGTTTAACGAGAAGCTAATAAAGTAAGCAGTCTTTTGTGAGAACATCAAAAGGAAATATATTTCTCTCAAGCATCATTTCAAGTTGGCCCGTCCTTATGTTTGTCCCACGTTTTCCCTTGACTGTTTTGTCTCTGGACTGTATGAGGGTTGGGGCTGCAAAGCATTTTCAACCGTTCTCCTGAGTCCTCGTTTTCGCATCGAAAAATTCGTCATTAATTAATCATGTCACCCAGTACATCGCATATCTTGTCATTAATCCGAACTGCTTGGAAGGCGATTTCTGCTCATCGGGCCTATGAACATTTCTAAAACCCTCTCAGCTTCCTGGGGTGCAGGGGTTTCCCCGGGGATACTGATATGTGTGAGGTGGTCAAACCAATTTTGCCAAAGTTCTTGTGCCTAAAACAAGAGCAAATCTTTTCAAAAAACTCCAAAATAAATTCTATATCGTCTAATAGTACATTTACTCCAAATTTCCCCTCTGAAGTAAATTGATCTTGCATTCTGTGTTCGTCTTTACCATTCTGAACAATTTAAAAGTTATCTTTTTCAAAAGATCTCATTTATTTGGCTTTCCCCTTCTTTATTTGTCTATTTCAAGTGCGAGGTGGTAAAATCCACCAGAAAAGCCTGAGGTGGTCACTAGAATCCGTGAGGTGGGCCGCCTCACATTTGAATAGGCTGGGGAAACCCTGCTGTGGTGAATGAAGCTGGACGTTTTGACAACTGGCGAAAAGAGCTGACCAAACATAACTACCCTCTCTGCGATCATCGGTACCCATTTACACCCCTGGGTGGAGAGAAACAAGTAGGGTAAGGTAACTTGGCCAAGACCACCAGCTGCTGGATTTGAACCGGTGACCCAAAAAATATAGTCACGGGCTACAAGTCCTAACTACCAGGCCAGACATCTCTCCTCAAAAACAAAATCCCAAAATTTGCAGCCAGTTTCGACAACTTCCAAGGATACAATTGACATCCAGACACCAGACGGCTCCTGTGTGACCATCATACGTGCCCAGACGCTCCCCGTTCAACGAAAACCATACAGTAGGATGTATGTCTTTGGCACAGGAGAACAGAAGGTCGCCCTCTGGGTTGTACCGAATGCGAGTAATCGCCCGCTCGTGGCCATTCAGTGCTATTGGTTTCTGCAGTAAAAGATGAAAAACTGTGAAATAACACATGCAACAGGAACATAAAAAAAGTAAAGATTTTTGTACAAAAAGTAAAGACTTTGTAATTTGTAATGGCATTCATGAGAACAAAAACTATGGAAATCCGGTGAGCCCTGGAAAAACTGTACGGCTGTAGAAATTTTTTTTTTAAACTAAACCCAAAAAGGGGGGGGGGAAACACAACTAGGTTTAGTACAAATTGATAATTTTGATACAAATGAAAATACTGGTCACGTTTGGTGAGGAAACTAACTGGGTAAAACTCAGCAGACGGACCCAACGATGCACTGAGAAATCATCAGAGTTAGCGTAAGAATAAAGATACCCAACATTTCTGCTACACACGTTACATGCTCATTAGCAAACTGCTTACTGATTAGGCAGCTCAGAATGCCTTGCTCATTAGGTACACGTCAGGTGAACAACATCAACATGGTGAAATAGGATTCGGGAAATCAAATGCCCGAGTCTGAGAGCCACGAACAAACTGACACATTTTAAGTCAAAAACCAAAATTCAGAATTTCGAATGGGAAGAGTTCCATAAACAATAAAACATGATATACGGATGCCAGTAATTATTTCCTACAGTGATCTTTAAGCCATGTGAAAGCAAAAACATGTCCCGAAAAGTTCAATTTAGGTGAGAAATTGCCAAGTTGTTTACTGAAAAAAAAATTTGAATTTCTCAGACCAGTCCCATATAGGCCTACATGATATGGGTTTGGTGTGCACGGGCACAGAGTGGTAAGCACTAAGTCACTAAAATTAGACTAAGTGGCATCTACATACATGATCTAGACTGATTACATTGTATATTCCTTTAAACTTCTAATAAGCTGATCATGGAGGACTTATTCCTCAATGCATAGCGTTAAAACCTTCATATTCACAAATTCACTACACCTATCCGGTCGAACGCTACAAGACCATGGTAATCAACACGATGAATGCCTCTTGCATGGGGATATCCCGGCACCATAAACGGCATGCATGCTGCAGTGCACGGGCAGAAACAGTAGAACGCGGGGCTATTGCGGCTACAAACTAGTGATCATTTCAGATTTATACCAAGTTATACACACAGTAAGACAATTAATTTGAACATCAACTATTGTACCAATAGTTGATAAGCAATAGGCCACATATGTACATCCAAGGATCCATTAAAACAAGGATGAAAGCTTACCATATTGTGTCGTAATCGTGAATATCTTCTTCACCTAGAAAATTGCACATGTACAAAGGTCGTATGCCCTGAGACATGCATACGAATGTGCACATTTATGGAATTCAACAGGCAGGAACCTGTTCATTTCGCACCCGCCATATTTTACCACTTATCCCCCTTTCGGCCGTATCCGAATCAATTGGCAACGGCTTGCTATAACGCTTGTGGGCACAAGAGGTAGCGGCTAACTTCACTTCTCGATCGTAGATGCAATTGTTATTGACGACCATAGCCCAAATTAATTTTGAATATCGCTGCTCTTCGACTGCGCAATTCATACTGGGGGCGGAGCCACTGACAGAAAATGAGAGGGGTGGAAATTTACGATTTCAAGAAAGTAACGAGAGTTGTTCCCTTAAAAATTGAATTTCCTCTTATCAGAGGCACGAGGTAGATGGGAAAAATCCTTTAAAAGGAAAATAGATGAACGCCAATCATGAAAATAAAAACTACCGGCAAATAAATACTTCTTCATCATTCATAAAGACATGGCAAACTTCAATGGAAGACGCATATGGCAGTACTCGATATCAATCAAGAAACTAGTTTGTTCAAGTTCTAACTCAGTGGATTTTTCTCCCCTGAAAGGTAAATCTGAATTTGTGTCTGTTCCGTTTTGTTTTGGTTTGGTTTTTTTGTATCACGAAATATTCTAACTTCACTTGAAATGTATCCACTTTGGCTTTGGTATTGTATTTTCCGACAAGCCTGTGTGAAAGGAAGGGCTGATGACGTTACCTGGGACACATTTTCTCAAATGTTAGATTATTAGATGCTAAGCTTCCTTCCAGTGGGTATATGGGTAGTCTCATGTTGACGGGAAAGGTGCACTCCAAAAAAATTAAATAAAATAAAAATTCCCTGACAGATGAGGGCGCTTTTTAGCTATAAAAATACCGTCCTCTTGCAATCTTGCTATAATAAAGGCCCGCTGAATATCTCAGTTTTTTTTTCATTCAAACTGGGAACCCCAAATTTGCTCATTGAAAGTTTTTCAGTTTCTCCAAGATATGATTCAGCATTGCGGGAAATTTTCTCCCTCTCTCGGGGTACATTCCTTCAGAAATTAAGGTGGTCTTCCTTAGCCAAGCACTTGAGCAAATATGCCCAAACGTGAGGGAAACTGTGCAGATATTGCACGAAGAGTGCTAGCCAGTCTCCTTAATGACATGCGTGTTTTTATTTATTAATTTTATTTATTATTTATTTATTTATGGTCATGGCACCAGGGATTCCGCAGAGGTGGAAGGCGAGGAAAGAACCACTTTTGAACGCCAATCTGAGTTTCCTTTCACCCAGGTTCTATAAACTAAAAATAAATAAATAAAAAAAATAAACTAGCCAAAAATGTACACTGGTTATACTATTCATTAAAAGTACACGTCTCGCAGCCGAAACAAAAATGAAAGATATTGCCGTACTTCATGTCCATAACGTACGGGAACGATTTCAGGTCACAGCGGAAGTGCCGTTTCTTGGTCCGTGGTTTTAAAATGGCTGCGTTGTCTAATTTTAGAAACACTTTTTTTTACTATTTTTTTAATATTTGTTTTCATTTTTTTATTTTTAATTTTCCTTATTTATTTTATTTTTTGTATTTTTTAATTTTTTTATCATTTTTTCTTCAACCCCCCCCTCAAATTTTCGGAAGACATCATGGCTGCCGCAGCTCCAGACACACGAAATCTGCATTTGATTTGGCATTGCTTTAGTTTGGAACTAAGTTATGACGAAATTATTGCTTCTCTTGCTTGTAATCATATTATCAGTCTCAGCAAGCGTAACCTACGTCATAGATTGCCAGAACTTGGCCTTTATCGCCGAAAACACCACACAGACATTGTTGATGTTGCATGTTTTAAAGAAGGGCAGTTGAGTACCTCAGGGCAACTTTGTGGCTACCGGTGGATGCACAGGGGGGGCAGCCACGTAAATAGGCAGGAAATATGTACTCAAAATATTCTACGTAAGAGGGTCGTGAGAACCATGGAAGTGGGGAATTTAAGACATATGGCGTTGAACCTCTGGCCCGGACTCAGGACTTCCAATTCTGAACAATTTGGATGCAATCAGGTCCGAGAGTGGCACTTTTTAGCCGTTTTGCAGAGAGATGCATTTTTAAAATGGCTACTTTTCCGGGCAGTGAAATTTCCTTCATTTTAGCGGTGGTTCGTTATTGGGTGAGAATTTCTAAAATATTCATTTGTCAACCCACTAAAAACTGAAAGGAAAATGAAAGAGGACATGTCAAAAATGCGTCGTTTTTCTGTGCAGCCTGAACCCCTGTGAGAGTTTTGAGTATTTTTAAACATTTGTGAAGTATGGGGATTTATCACTGCTGTCTATGGGAATTTATTTACTGCGGTGCACCCCTGAGATCCCTTCAGAATAGCCTCCGTGTAAGCCGAGAAATGGTGCGCCATCTTCTGGGATTACTAGACCCAGAGGGGGTCGAGCAAAGAAGGCGGCGACGGCGGCTACAGAGAAGGACACACAACGGAAGAGCCCCCCCCCCCAGTTACGAACGGCGATGCCCACGTACCAAACCTTTGTTTGGCACACTTGAGAAAAATAATTTAAATAAATAAATAAACAATAAATTAAAAATAATAAAATAAAAATATGTTAATTTTTTTTAATTTATAATTATTTTTTTTAATGTTGGCACTACCGGGCTTTCGTAACCTCCCAATCTATAAAGTTTGGAAGAGGTGGACTCTAAACCAATTTTTTGTTTGGCCTAACAATAAGAAAAACTTCCTAAGGGGTGAGCGGCATCATCTGATAATCATCTGTAGAGACGTGACTTTGGAATATCCAATGTAGGCGTACTTGAACGGTTAACTTTGAACCGCATGCCTCTCGACGGGTCCGTCCAACGCGTGCTCCATAATTGTGACCGAATTTGTGTTACAATGAGGGTGTCATTAGTGTAGTCGAAGGTCATGTTTTTCAACTATGGCATACTTCCTCAAACGTAAAAGCATTCTTCAAGGTTTTTTTTAATCAATTTATCAGTGAAATCTTTAAACAGATACGGGTTGTGTGTTATATACTGTTTGAAAACGACACGAAGTCATGACCCGACACTCGTCAATTTTGCAGAGTTAGAATTGAACATTACATATCTTAATTAAAATTAGAAAATTTGGAGATAACTGCAAACTATTACTGTGATTTGGGCAACCCAGGAGTCAACGTCGAAAATCAGGTGATCCATCGCACATTCTACTTCATCGCAATCCTGACGAAACGCACGTGAGTCATGTCTTTGCTAATGTCGTTTATCTTAGCGAAAAGACCAAGGGGGGCTCTCTAACTCAAGGGTGAAATGTTTGGGGAGGAAGCACCTTGCAGGGTGGACGGATATATTTTTTTTTCTTTCAAGGGGGCACCGATAGCAATAATGCTTGCATGTGGCTTGAGTAGGTGCAGGTAGCGTTAATTTCAATGGGCGACACCCAGGATTGGGGTGAGGCTTGGACATCCACGGAAGAGGCAGGGACACGCCTCTGTGGCGCATGGCCCATGCACCCCCAGTTACGCCACTGCGCGCGTGCTCTCTGTAATGAAAGGTCTGTGGTGATGAGTGAAGTCTACTGGTCGTTTCCCCTTAAGTGACGCCGCTACTCGAGGATAGTTTGAAGGATTTATGATGTGAAAATTACTTGGAAATATTTTGCACGATTTTGTATTCCGGCCCCCAGAAATTAATATAAGAAGAGTATTTGATATGTCTTGTTTTGGTTAACATAATGTCTTTTTTCTGGAATATGGCCAACTTTTAGAGTTGTCCTTGCGCGAAGTCATGATTGCAAGAGACATACACCGTCGGTTGAAGTCTTGGCCAGATGCACTGAGTTTTTTTCGGGACGGGGTGAAGAACTTGCTTCTTTGAAGCGAAAAAACAAGTTTTCAAGTAACCTGTTATGGACCTTCTGGGCCCCGGCGGGGCTGGTTTTTGGGCTGTTTGCACGCTTTGGAGAAGAAGGGAAACAGAATAGACCAAAAACAAACCCTTTCTCAAATTGTTTTATTCTAAAATGGCTACTTTTGAAAGGTCATCATCCCCGCTTCCCCCCCCCATCCGGTAAGACAGCAGAATGTTCTAAAAGGGAAGGAGACCATTAGCTACCATCGAATTTGTCATTTGGTGGAACTCTTTTTCTACATTTTTTTCTCTCTTTCCTTTCCCTTCTTCTCGAAATCGCGTAAAAAAGGCCCCAAAATGTAGCCATACCCCTAAAAAAAATTTAAAGTCTGCATAAAAATTCCGAAGTTTTGGTCCCCCAAAACCTGACAAACTATAACAAAAAGCACCCCCCGGAAGATTTGGTCCTGGATCCGCTCTTGGCCGAATTCTATCGAACAAAGTTTGTCAAGTGTATTGTCAGCTAGTATCGTTTTGCATGAATGATTACGCCCCATTAGAATGTCGAAGTGGTTTTGTTGGAATTTCACTTCAAGATCTGTCCCGTGTCGTATTTGCCACTCTAAAAATATCCAGAACTGAGCTAAGAACACGCACTGCCCCCTATCTTTTAGAGAGCCTGACCTGTCTCCGCTGATACACGCTTTGATTGCCACACAGACTCTACAACAGGGTATTTACGACATAGTGACCACAGAAAGCAACTTTGTCCCACTAATTCTACCGGCCAAATAAGGGTGGGTTGTTTCACTTTTTTTCCACAGATGTGGTTAACAATTTCGATGGTCCGGTAATCTGCCAGGGCAATAGTAATTCGCCTGGGCAAATCAGTGTCAGATCAAAAAGTTTTTGTCAATTTCATGGCCTGCACAAGCTTCCGTAGACGCCGGACTTTCGTCTCACCACGGAACAGATAAATTTGACCGTACCACTGCGCAAGTTTCAACTTGCGTGGGACGTTTTTCAGTTTAATATATTGAGCGAGCGCAAAAACTGCAGCTGAACTGGACAGTCTGTTCACAACTGTTGTGCAAGTAGCCAATTTGCGCTCAACATGACACGGCCGTCTCTGCGCTTAAGTTTGCCCGAATTTGGAATATATTGCTATCCAGAATTTTTTTTGCTTCGGTAATTCGTTTTTAATTCAGTTCATGACCGTAGATCAGGATGTAGATTGCTGTCAAAACTAATTCTCTCATTGAGCAAATTTCTCTCCACTCTTTGAACAGAAAACTACGCGAGTGGTGTCCTACAATGAATTCTCAATCTGTCAGAAAAGTGCTCTGGAATATTTTTAATGTTTTTAGAAATTAAATAAACCCTTTCAAACAGTTCTAAAGGGTATTTTTTGTTGCTACGTTATTCTGTAGGAAAGTAAAAGATATTAAAACGGGAGCTAAAGCACAATTACTGATATCAGGCTCGCACTTCAGCAATCGGGTTGTGAATTTGCGGCCACATTCCGTAAATTGTGCATCTAAAACTCGCAGACGTATAAAGTGAAATTTGTGCACTCTGAAAATGCACAAGGTTCCTAATTAAATCCCACATTTTCTGCCAACTGATGAGGATGACAGTCATTATTTGCTCATAAATATGCAATATTGCAATTTTTATGCAAGAAAGAAAAGTCCACAAAACAGCTGCAGCAGCAAAAACGCATGTCTAACACTCCGTGTCTTGCAAACAATGGTCTTGCTGAGCCTCAAGGTACATGCATGTTGTCAATTAATCCTGCCTCACATTATTGTTTGCGCGACTAGACTCACCACCCATTGACCGGGTCGGCCTAACCACCAGTTTCATCAGCCCCTCCGTTAATTACCTATCTACCCCGCGCATAATGCATCGCCCCTTGTATGGTCCTCGACGTCCTCTGACGTCACGGGTCTAGTCTAGACCAGACAGACGGCCCCAGTAGATAAAACAAGGCACCTGCCGACCTCAAAAAAAGGCCTCGCAGCGAGCACACGCACGTCGTAAGTCTACCCTTTCACTTTTCAGCATCTTTGGCCGATTTTTTTCCAGCCGAAGCTACTTGGCTGTAAGTTTTTGTGTCTGTGGGTCGTTGTGTAGGGCTCGGGTGTCGGAGAGCGGGTGTTTTTTGGGTGGAAATATTGCCGGGGAATTTCGATGGGAGTTTTGTCCCGGTCCCTTGACCGCCAGAGCGCTATCGCGCGTGTTTGCATTGTAATGGCGCTGCCTCTGCATAATGTTGTACGCCATAAGCGGTAAGCAGTGTGTTCATGGTGGCCTTGAGATAAGCACACCGAGGAACGGTACGAGTGGATTACACGCTTTTCGGATACAGTAGGGCTGAGCAGGGTTCTATTGAAATTAAATTCATTCATTCCATGTTTGTTTGATCATTTGCATTGCAAGATTATTTTTATTCATCCTAGGCCCCTGACATCTCGAGAGCCAAACGTGAGCCTTCATGTAACTCTAAGCTGATGTTCAAAGTTAGATTTTGTCAGTGCTAAAGTATGATGTTCGCTGTTATTTTTTCTTGTTATAACTGAGTTTTTATCGTTGTTGTTTTAGCATTTTGTGTTTGGAAAGTTGTTTTTCAAACCCTTTGCTTTAATGACATGGATACTGTCGACCATTGTTGTTGTCATTGTTATTGTTTTTAAATGCATTTTATTGATGGAGATAGAATTTATTGTTCTTCAAAGTTTTTATATATGCGTAAATTGTGATGTTTGAGAAACTCACAAATTCCAAGTTAGACATTGTCATTGAATAATATTGTAATTAGATGGAAGAATGCACTAATCGCATTGCTAATCTCTAGGAATTTTAGCTTTTAAGCTTTTTTACCATGTTAACCCTGACAGTCCTGAGTCCTCCAACTGGTGAAGAACTGACGACTGTTAGGGTTGAAGGTCAGTCAAAGAATCTTTCCATAACTAAAGTAAAACAATGACCGTGTGGATGCTCCGTATTTAGTGTCATTTCAAGTACCTTGTCTTGTCTTTCCAAACCTGATGGGGCTATTGGCACTTAGTCGCCACAGTGGTGCAGAAAAATTTTTTATGGAGATACGAGAAAGGATGAATTCACCTGGAGTGGTTTCTTGCGGCTTCATGGATCGGTGCAGTGTTGGTATTATTCCAATGGTGATGCCTCTTAGCATTCATGATCCCAGGGAAGGCTTCTTCAAGGGGCACATCATGGCGGTTGATCTTGAGGAGGTCGGCTGATGTCGCTATCGATCCCCGAGCAGGGAAGAGGTTGCTGATCAGGTCTCTTCTAGGTAGGAAGCACTGAAGTAATTTTTTTATGGCATACACTAGGTTTGGACAGGATTCGTCAGCGTATTTGTGTTTTTTGGGGGGCAGTCTGTCAGCAGTTTTGATTTTAAAACACAGATGCCTTCTTATTATGGGTTTCAGGGTTCCAAGGACCATTTGCCACTGTAGCCAAACGGTGAATGTTTACGCACTTCAGCCATAATGCTGAGCCATTGGCGAGACAAGAATTATCTGAAGCATTGCTCACGCCGCTGAAGCTCTTTGCCTTTTATTTAAAACTTAAACGTTGGAACCCTGGATTTGGAGAGGTTTGTCACACTGCATGCATGTATGCTGCAGCCCGTCTTTGTAGGCTTAACTCTTCACTCTGCTGTCATGTTGGATATCTGTAACAGCCCCTTGAAATGTGCCTGAGTGTCCTATTTTGTCGCTTGAGGCGAGTTTTGAGTGTTGAGGTGCTTGTGCCCTAACATGGATTTCATGCTTGAGCACTAATTAAAAGTTCCGAATCTGATTAGTTTGAAGAGGTGGTAATGACGATAATGATGTCAGTGATGATATTGATAATGGTGGGGATATGGCGACAATAATGGTGACGACAGGGGTGCCATTTGAATGATAGTATGGTTGACAAAGTGACAGAAATGATATAAATAGGGATGGTTATAAGTGATTCAAGAGATGTTGATTCCCAGTTATTCGAGCTGGCGGAGGATTTCCACGAATCAGCAAAATTGATAATCTGATGAACTGATTTAAATCAGATGTGAGATGATTCTGTTTCACCTTGACAGTTGATTTTCAGTTGTGGCTGCCTACAGTAAACTACCCTCGCCTGCAGATCTTGTTCTGAGAGATGTTTTCTTAACAAATGCTTTTCATGGCCGCTGTTTAATGCATTTTGTTAATGTTGGAAGAATTATTCACAAAATGGATTTTTTAGTCTCGTATTTGTCAGGAATCTTCTCATCTGCAGAAGCTACTCTATACGAGCTCTGATTGTCAAATCTTGGGCCATTTCAGACCAAAACTATTTCTGTGATTTTTATGTTGAAAAGGACTCCACAAACTTGAAAATGCCTATGCACAACTTGCACTCGGCGTCTGATTTTTCATGTTACCCAGTTTGTTGAATTCAACCGTGTGTGTGTTTGTGTGAAAATGGCCATTGTTCATCACGAAGGGAACAGCTTTGTGCCGTAATCCCTTGTGGAAAAGTATGTTGTAACGCTGGGGTGCCCGGCTTTTGTGCACGTTCCTCCCTCTTTTGATCTTTGGCCTTGAAGCAAACAAGGGTACTAGTCCACTGCTCGACATAGCGCTTTGGCCCCCGGGGTCCTCGCTTTTGTCGGGGGGTTTTTGTTGTTACCCGCTAAACCGTGTCCTGCTTTACGGTCTCCCTGTTGAGTCCTTACAATCCCTCCCTCAACTTCTCATGGCGGTCTTTTCTTCGTTTTTCTCTTGAAGTGTTGATGCCAATTCAAGCTGTGCTGGCCTTGTCTCGACAATAGCGGTGCTGAAGTTGGTGTTTTCAATGGGGGGGAGGTTTTTTTTCTGTCGGAGCACAATGAAATCTGAAGGTGGGCTTGTTGTCCAACGGGCCGTTAACTATTTGGAGGAAGAAGAACTTCTGCTTTTAGGGGGTGTCTTCTATGATTTAGCATCTTCCTTTTTGTGGTCTACGTAAGCCCTTCAAAAGGCATGATGCAAATCAAGATGTGATTAACGATGTGACAGGTACAGACTGATGGATATTCTGTAAATGGAGTTTTGAAGCTGATTGAAAGGGCGAGGTTGCAGCAGGACATTTGCGATTTCCTGACCCCTGATGTTACTTGATCCAAGAGGCTGGTGAGTGTACTCAGGCATATCGCGCAAACTGTGTGAATGAAACTTCAAGCATCCACTCGCCGCAAATGCCAGTCCTTCTCCAGCACTAACGCTGGATACTTGACATGCATAACATGTAGCATGTTCTGTGAAAGTACAAGAGCTGACTCTCCACGCAACGGATCATGTGACCTTGTGCGGCAGATTACAAGCGGCTGGTGTCAGATGGTGTCCAAATGTGTTTTGTGTCTGATTTCACCCTATGTAAATTATGTCCAAATTCAGTCTAACGGGCTAGCAAAGCTGGCGGTTACGTAACCTATTTCTTGTCTGACTCAGTATTTCTAAAATGTTGGAGGTCTCTAGACGTATATTTACAAGGAAGGGGGCCTGGTGATTAAATTCTTTCCGTGCATAATAAACTTTATTGTGCAACTGTAGTTTGTTTTCCAATGGTATCAACAACTTCCTAACAAATTAGCTTTTGTTGGATCATGTCAGATTTGGTACAGTTGGGTTTTACCGATGTACATGTACAGTGTAAGTGCCCATATTAGGCGTGACTGGTAGATCAATCGATCTTCCGACATAACCTGTCATTTCTGCTGCTGTTGGCGAATCACCTTTTCTTTATAATTCAAGGTTGTGGAAGATACATGTATTTATGTAAATGTGAGTAGAGATAGAGAGTTTCTACGAAATCGACCAATAGCACAGCACGATTGATTACAAGTGCAGATTCGCTGATCACACCCAAGTTTGACTGGACAAACTTTAAGATGGCTATGAATATTACAGATTAATAATAATGATAATACTGTTTATTGAAAATGGGTCACTCGGGAGACATTCCCATAAGAATGTGCTCAAACCTTACTGTCCCATAATTCAATATTCCCTAGTCTGATTTGTACCAAACTTTGTATGTTTTCAATTTAGACCCTAATCCATCATCTATCAAAATTTGGACACAGTAAAATTCGGCCTCCTTCTGGTAGCCGGGGCATTAGGGTGACATTGAAATGTCTCCCTAATGACCGATGTCTCCCTAAGGTCGAAAAATTTACCACAAAATGTCTCCCTCATGATCCATTTGTAAGAATAATACTAATTAATGACAAGTTTTTGTAGAGGTCTTTTACTTAAGGGCTTTCCATTATTATTACCCCTGCTCACTGGGCCTGTGAATCATTCCAAATACCAGTACAATCTCAGCTCCTAAGGGAGCTCTGCGCAGCCATTTCGGCGCAAAATCAACCACAATTGCTGTTACTTGTCGCTCACAGTGACGATTTGCAGACACGGACTTAATTTCCTATTGGTTGTTTCTGGGTATTCCCCTAACCCCCCCTCTCGTCCAACCACAGACCATGGGCAACTCGCAGGGCCAGCTCAAGTCCTCCAAGTTTGAGACCGCTCTGCACATGTCCATCGAGCAGTCGCTGCGCTCCAACACCGCCACGCCCCAACCGCTCTTCTCGCAGCTGTACTTGGACAAAGGTAAAGCAAGGGGGGCGGATCCAGGTTTGGCTTAAAAGGGGAGGGAAGATTAAACAGGTGTTTAAAAATTCTTGTTCATATTTTATGCCTAGGAGGTTTGAAGATCCCTCTGTAGACTAGCTACTAAAATTTGGCACAGCCTTACTAAACTGTTTTCTGTACACAACAATTTTAGTCTCACAACTATCCAGGGCGTTTTGAGGGATGGAACGGCAAATAGCAAGCCAATTTTAGATGAAATGATAGAGTTTCAAATCAAAACTTTTGATTTGCACGGTAACCTTTTTCAACAATTTCAGTGACATCCCTTTGTCTTTTGAGAGGTTTTATCTACAAGATATTAATCTTTTTCCCACCAAAATTGTTGTGTTCTTTTCAAAAAGTTTAATGACGACCCTTTCTCTTTCAAAAGATTTTTTATGAATATTGTAAATTGAATGTCTTTGAAAGTCCACTGTTGCATTTGTGTGTTAGATGTGAAACCAAATGTCAAGGAACTGGATACCCATCAAACGCAGGGAGATACATCCAGGAGGGAATCAGTTTCCACAACAGCCTCCTCCTCCTCTTCAGCTCCGCCCCTCCCCAGCCCTCTGTCCACCCAGCCTCGCCCTGCGGAAGCTGTGAAGCCCCTTCCCTCCCCGCGGCTCCCCCCGCCGCCGCCAATCGTCTCCCACCACCCGACCTCCATCCAGTCCCCCATGCCCATGCCCGTCATTCTGACCTCTCCCAGACTGCCCAGCCAGCCGCTGACGCCACACCACCTCCCCCCACAGCAGCGCTTCGTCCTGCCGCCCCACGTGCCCTTCGTGACCCAGCCCCCACCTCCACCACCGCTCCAGCAGATCCAGCACCCCCGCTCGTCCCAAGAGGGCACCGTCGCCATCGTCACCTCCCACAGCCAGTCGTCCCCGGCCTCCACGTCCAGGCAAGGCTCACCGCGATCAGCCAGCGAAGAGGTGCAACCGCTGTATCGGAGAGAATACCTGGATAATGTCGGCATGCTGTATAACACCCTCACTGGAGGCTGTCAGGAAGTTGGTAGGTCAACCCCAGCTCTCGTTTCCTTCTGTCCCAAGGCCAATGTGCACTTTAGGGAAAACCCAGTGTTAAACTTTTCATTGGTCATTTTGCCAAAAATCTATCCAAAGACTCCAAACAAAACTAATGGCAACAGCAAAGGACTCATTTTGTCATGCCAGTCAAGCTGATGGGATATTGGTCTACATGGTGTGAAACCCGGACCTGCTTTATCATATTGAGGAATAAGGTCCCCGGGCTATTATTTAAATTCTCAGCAAATGTCAAGGTTTTGAAATCATGATTCAATAGATTGTAAACTGATTTCTTTCCAATGTTGAAACAATTTTTTTTATTCTTACCAGAATTTTGGAATGGAAAAGGAAGAAGAAATAAATATATTCAAAGATCAAATGAAAAGCCAACCCTCATTCCTTAAAAATGCATAGAATTTGTCCTAAACTGTAACTAACGTGGAACACTGAATCCCATATCTTCATTTTCCTGGTTTGAAAACTAATGAATTTTTACACACAGTTCCTGAGACCTCCGAATACTCAGCGGACATAGGGTATTAGTCAGGTCTTAGATTCCGTAATGGTTGACAGATCCAACACAGACTGTCTGACGGGTAGCCAGGTGCTCAGGTACAGATGTCCTTGAGATGCTATTAAGTCAGGACGAGTAGGAAGCCAGTCCGGGTGGTTTTACCTCCATTTCCTGTTTTCAACTTGGGGCTCTATTTCACCAGGAACGTTAAGGAGGATTTTCCACTAATTAATTTATTGCCTTTCTCCTGCCTACTTGCCTGAAAGTGGAATTTTGTTGAAAATGAATGAAATTAACTTTAATGAGAGTACTTCCCCTAGACGTCTCAAATTTGGAATGTCAGTAAAAATGGAGTGATCCACTTCCAGTAGACTGATGTACATCTACACTGCATTTTAGATCCTCTCAGTCTGAATTTGTCAAATTCTTTTTGAAGGTTGGAAATTTACATGTATTTTTCAGTCTGGAGTATTACCATATTTGGACGGCCTATTACGTCACAAATTTCGTGCAATCTGACCAATCACAAGGCTTGTTCTAGTAGCCTGCAACGGATTGGTATGAGTGTTTCCAAGTTACAGGGTGCTTTTCTTAAACATTGCAGCATATGGAACAAAAACAGTCATGGAAAATTTCAACTGCAAAAATTTGATTGGCTGTGCAAAAAATACCTGACTACAGACATAAAGTAGAAGTTCTAGAACATGTTTGTACCGATGGGATTTAAAATTCGTCGTTGCCAACTTGAGATATGTAAAGTTGAATTAGGAAAAGAATTGCTGTTTCAGTGGAGAAATGTCACTATGCCCATACGTGTATGTGGTAATGTTCCAGGCTATTTTACAGCAGTTTTGAAAACTGTTCTTGCTAATTCTCGGCTTCCAAAAGCATGATGTACCGTACAAAATGATGTCCTGTCAGCTTTAATTTTGTCATACTGGGCTACCGTGGTGCACCCACACGTATGCATGTCCGTACACGACGTTGGGTTTGATCAGTGATAACGATGTCTTTGGTTGATATCATTTGGGTCAATTCAAATAATTCACTATTCGAATACTCGACATTCAATTTGATTAAATATCTGAATATTCGGTCGTACCAGCATCGGTTGTATCAACAATCAGCAGATTGTTGATGAGCAAACCACCTATACAAAATCAGTGGCAATAATGCACACAATTTTACATAATGATCAATCTAAGAGTACACCTAGGAGTATCTCTAGCCACGATTTAGCAAGATTTAAGAGATGAACAATACTTCTTGCCTTGTTGTAAATTTCTAATCCTTTCAAATTGTTTAATAAATAATTTCCTTTTCAAGTCGTCGTAGGATTTCTGATGTTTCATTTGAATCTGCTTGAAACAGACCTCAATGGTGACTTTTTCTCACTTAAAACAAAGAAAATTTTCCCCTCCTTTGCATGAATTTTTCATCTGAATATTCAAATTGGAAAAATAACATTTGCATATTCAAAAATCGATCAATTATTCAGATATTTGGCACAGCCCTAATCACTTGATGCCTACACAGCATCCGAGAGGAGAGAATTGCTCGCTGATGCGTGAGACCATTTACGTATTCTGCTGGGTCCTTCATTTGTTGTCTTTGCCTGGCACAGTCATCGACAATAAAAAGCATCAGTGCTCACACTTGTACATGTCACATTATGCAGTTTTTTTTCCCTAGTTACTGTGGACGTCTGCCTGTAGGAGGATAGGCGTTAAGAAATGTAGAATTTAGAAATCACTGATATGTGTATGTTGTTGAATGCCAGTGGTGTTCACAATTATGCACTCGACTGGTTGATAGCACGTAGTCATGGTAAATGCTTAATGCTAATGGGCCTTTTTATTTCAGTGTTTAGTCCTTTCTATTTGGCGTAATTCGCTTTCAGACTTTGAAAAGCACTTCAAGCAGCATTTAGCCTCATTGATTTGTTTGTTTTGTTTTATTTGAATGTCAAAAATTATTCTGCATGCTTGTAAAAATAACTGCTTATACGGCAGTTTGGTACGTGTAGCAAGACCACTCAACACTATTTTTGCTGAGAAAATGTGTTTATTTGTAGTAGGTTTTTAATTTCCATCATGTCCCCAGAACAGAAATTACTGTTTGCAGTGTCTTTTGAAATACAATAGAAGGCCGTTCAAAATCAATGAATACCTGCTACATGTATGCTGTATGTTTCTTCATAAACTTCATTTTCTTTGCACTGTTCGGGCACAGACTTAAGCCATCTACACGCCTTTCGCTTTCCAGCAATAAGTGTGATACTTTGCTATTTCCCAGGTTTTTGTCAGGCTGGTGCGGACATTCGCTTGACGGAGTTGAGTGAGAGGCAGTTTGACGTGCCCAAGGGCTTCGTTCTCGTGGGGACCAAGTCTCCGTACTTGCCCGAGAACATCTTGGTGGCGGCAGTGGATGCGCGATTCCTGCCTGACCCCAGCACGTCGCTAGCTTTGCTTGGTAAGTTGCAGACTTTCACCTGAAGTATAGATTCCGAGGGATGTGGAGCATTGTCTCCAACTGGTAGTGGTTTTTTTTTATACCCCTGTCTCAAGACTCGACAGGCCCAACACATGATCTCCAATCTGAATTCAAGTCACAAGCTATTCAAGTGAACTGCAATAAAAGCATTCCTTCATTGTTCACCCTGTCTGTTGTGACTGGCCTTTAGTCTGATCTTCTGACTGGCCTTTAGTCTGATCTTCTGACTGGCCTTTTGTCTGATCTTCTGACTGGCCTTTAGTCTGATCTTCTGACTGGCCTTTAGTCTGATCTTCTGACTGGCCTTTTTAAATATGCATTTCTCAAAGATGTTCAAATTCTCTCTTTTTGTGCCGTAGGATTTAGTGGTAACTGTGTCGGTTGCGGTGAGAAAGGTTTCCGTTACTTCACAGAGTTCTCTCACCACATCAACCTGAAGCTAACGACTCAGGCCAAAAAGCAGAAACATCTAAAGTACTACCTGGTGCGGAACAAGCAAGGCCAACTGGTCAGGGGTCCCAACATACCCTGGAAAGGTACGTTAACCCTTTCATACCAGGAGCCATCCACAGCCATGGCTCTGTGTGAGGATTAGTGCATTACCACACATACATTCTATTCATCATGCACCTGCGGTTTCAATGTGGTCTTGCTGCTGGACAGAGCTTTGCATTCTGGGCATACTGCAGCCCAGCAGTCACGGTCAAAAGAATGCCGGCGTGAAACGGGTAACAAATAACATTGCCACCCCTGCATAGACAAATTTTCTACACTGAACCCACAAGCGTTTCTTTCGAGGTACATTTGCATCAGTGCCATCATGTTCATGTAATGTTATCGTAACTTGCCTCATGCATATTCATGATCAAGGGCTGAATTCTCATTGGTCTGTTCACCATTATGTGTCGTCCCCCCTTCCCCCGAGAATCTTGTTAGATAGTCGATATTAGCTCCCCTCGGCATAGAAAGTTGACACCATTGGTTATTTCAGCTCCTTGTTTGGGTGTATTTGGTGGCTTGTGAAACCTTATTGTGGTTGGGTCAAAACTGCTTCTTTACCGATTCTTAGAGGGTTGTACAGAGCATATACTGTTAAAAAGGAAATAAACTAAAACACACTGCTCTTTCAGGAGTGTCCTGGTTTTCATGAATATGTATGCATGCAAATTAGCTATAGGCCACACATCCATATTAGGCAGTCTGTATGTACCTGAATGGAGTTCCGTGTGGTCACCCAGATGTTTGTTGTCCTTGTTCTTGAAGAATGCCGCAAGACAAGCTTCCCCGGTTCTCAGGGGGTATACGTGGGAACTCCACCCCCCAACGTGAACATGTCTCAAACATCAGGCAAGTTGGTTTCCCTTGGCAACTCAGAGAGCCGAAGAGAGCACCTTGCTGAATTCAGTGCATTGAGTTACTTCTTTTTCCCCCCTCTTTAATTTTTGTAATCAAGCCCCATTTGTGCCTCCTCTTAACTAAGAAAATCTTGTTGCGGAAATAAACTGATGAATTGTGAACAAAGTTGGCAGAGCTCGCTTCAATTAAAAAACTGAGTGGGCAGAGCTCGCTTCGACAAAAAACTGAGTTGGCGGATGTTTGAATTGCATGTGCATGTTTGATGAAGTGAAACATTGTATATTGTGTTTGCTGGGTGAAGCGATCTTCAGCGGCATTGTATCCATTGCTTTGTAGGCTGTAAGAACACTGTCATCATCAACTGATCAAGCCCTTGTAGTATTGTTGTTTATGTGGTTGTCTGTTGCTTAATATCGCTTACATCAGGCAGCATTTGATGCCAAACTTAAAGCATGTATGCACATTTTGAAGACCTGTTATTTTTTCGAGTGACATGTTGAAACTTTTTTAAAGACTTTTGTGCTTTTCCCCGACAGTGATAGTACCGCGTCAGGTCATGAGCCCTTCTGCCAATATCAGTTACCACGGCAACCAGGCCTCGTCTGCATTTCAACCAAAGACTTCGCCGTCGGCAACCATCAACCATTACGGGACGACGCCTCCCCACGAGACATCAGCCCCTACCCACGGTACCAGTAAGACAGCCCATCTCTATTCAAGTGGGACCCCGCCACTGGTGAAGGCAGGGGAGTCCAGTTCTCACCAGCAGCCCATTAAGAAGAGACATCGTTTCCACAGCTTGGATGAGGAACGCTTACGAGGCAGTAAGTGCATCAGTTAAAATTTCTCAGCTCAAGTAATCATTGTTGTAGTAGCATATGAACAATTATTTAAAAAAAGATTTTGTAAGCGTTTACTGTCTTGAATCTTTATAGATGGTTCACCGACGCACCCCCCAAAACGGCCTACCCTCGCCCCGCCCCCGCTCCACCCACCCAACTTTGTGCCCCCGCCACTTACCAGCGGGCTACAAGACACCTCCTTCGTGCCGCCGGGTCTGGCCGAGGCCTGCTGCTCCAAAGTAGTCCTCCTGGACTGCGCGGGCAGCGTGCCCATCTTCCACGGCAGCGTGTGCGATTTGGTGGTCAGCCCCCTGTTCCGGGAGAGCCTCAAACCCACCCAGCCGGTCCTGGCCCACATGGCCGAGAGCCTGGGCCTGCTGGGCATGCAGAGCATCAACTTTGAGACCATGGCGCTGGTCATGATCCAGTACTTTGTTCAGCTCGGTAAGCTTTTGTCTTCAACTCCTCAAACCGTTAAAAGCCGATTAATGTTTGAGTCATGTGTGTACATTTCAACAAATACGAGTTGCAAAATAGCACTTCAGTGCAGTCATGGGTACTACAACACTGTGTCCGCAATTGAGTAAATTTCAGTGAGTATGAGTACAAAATGTTCTCAAATGTGAGTAGGCATATGAGTACTACATAGCTGTTGGAGGGTTGAGTCCATTTTAATGAATATTGAATGCAAAATCAGTTGAGTGTGATTTCCTTTTTAGGTGATCGCATACCAAGCAGAGAGGAACTAGACTTTGCCCTCCTGAAAGCACGCCAGGACACAATCATCAAGGACCTAGGGGGTCAGCATAATATCCCACAATTCACCACGGTTGCCCCCGCCCAGCTTCCCCTGCTTGCCAAGCTTGCAGTGGCAACATCCCAAGGCAGGGTGAAAATTGTCATAGCTCAGGTAAGTCTAACCACTCTTAAACAGCATTACTACACAACAAACCAACCCAAACAACTAAAAACTACAAGATACCACGGCTATTTTTTCACAATGAAATTGACCACCTAGCTGACACTTGTGAGAAATTTGTATTAGATTTGTAGGATATTTATGACTGTAGTGACATCTTGTTTCTTCGACTGCAGCCCAGTGAGGTTTGGAAATTTGGTGATATGGTGACTTGTGGGTACAGCACTCGCCTCTCACCACTGTAATCCTGGGTTGGATTCCCAGTAGAGCTCATATATGTGAAGCCATGATGGTAGGCTCCCTCTCATGCCCCAAGTGTTTTATCCGGGTTCTCTGGTTTTTCCTGCCTCAATAAAAATCAGCATTTGTGATCTCTGGCTGTTCTCTGTGGTCAGACATGGGTCATTCGGCGACTACCTGAGGACACTTTATATCCCTTCGGCTCGGCCATGTTGTAGTTGTGTCCTTAATAATTTGACTTTGCTGCTGTGAGCAAAACTGATCAGCCGTAAAATTAATTCCTATGACATTTTTCAGCTCGAGGTCGTAGGAAATATCTCAAGCTAGTGTGATCAAAGTTGGCGCAACAGATTTTAGAGTGGGACTAAAAGAGACTGACTTTTTTTCGTTGACTTTTCACCGACAGAGCTCCATAGCAGAAGGCATCTCGGAAACCCTCAAGATGCAGGTTGCCATGGGACCCAACGAACAGCGCTCACTCTACTACGTCATCATCCACGTTTCCAGGCAGAGAGGCACGGAATTCTGCATCATTGTTGTCGGTAAGGCGTCATCGCATTTGACAGAAGTCCGAGTATCAAGCGCATAAGACATTGAATCAGTTTTCTCTTTATATCTCTGTGCACTGCCGAACCTAATTTTGTTCTGATTTCAAAGCCAGTGCAGTCATTTTAGAGTCTGTGAAAACATTTATCTCATCTTGTTTTTTGCTTTTGATGTAAATTATTTGTATTCTCCAGGCTGTTTAGATGGAACTGTTTTGTGTTGGCAGGTTGTCGCCAGGCGAGGGCGCTGTTAGAAGCTAGGTTATCGACCCCAGAGATGTTCAAGGAGATCAGCTATGAGATCATTACGGGAAAGATACAACTGCTGACCAATCACTTCAGCAAGAACAGCCCAGGTGGGTGGTGCTTTTGTTAAAGGGCACCGTTTTGTTAAAGCACTAGAGGGTCTGAATGGGTGGTTGGTTTCCCTGAATGCATGCGTTCGTCTGTCAAGCTCGGAAGTCAGGGAATCAGACTTGGATGAAATTATGATTCATCACTCTACAAAACTACCAATGAAATCCCAGGAGCTGGGAGGCTGTTGCCTCCCTCCATGAGGGCAGGTCACCAGTCTACCCTCATATTCGCCTGCATGTCAGTGATTAAATCTGGTGATTGATTGATATTGTAGCCTTTTTTAAAAACTCGGCTTCTTCTCCAGTTCAGAGTCCCACTACAGAATCACTTGTTAGTATTCACTTTTGGAACCAAGTGAAAATATTCCACCCCTAGTCGCATATGTGACAGTCCGTTTTTCCTACATTAAAAAATTGGAGCGGCATAAGCTGCAATTGATGAGGACTAAATTCGTGAAATTGAAGGATGGAACTGAAATGGAGACGAAAGTTAAGATTGTCAACAACTCTGCTTGGAGTTTTCTGTCTTACAACTGTCGCCTGATATTGCATGTATCTCTTTTTTGCCATAGTCGGCCACGACATCGACGTACTTCTGGAGTCGTTTTCAGGCAATTTGGAAGGAGAAGTGTTTGTGCCGTTCAACGGAGAGTTACTCCAGAGAACAGAGGAGAATGTGGCTCTGGAGATGGAAGTCAGCACCATGAAAGGTCGGTAACTGTTTTCTCGCTGGTGGCCCAATAAACAAAATGGGACTTCAACCCTAACCCCTCGGGTCCTTGCACTAGAGAGCATACTGAGCCAAACTCCAACAGGTGCGTAAACTTCTCTATGTACTTGTACATGCAGGTCCCTGTACCAAACCTGATAAACTCCAACAGAATGAGCCTGTTGGAGTTTGAGTGATATGGTATGGATGGGTCTACGCAGTATAGGATGACTTGCACTGAACAGTACCAAACCTGACAAAATCAAGCACAGTCCAACAACTGGTACAGCAAGCCAGACACTGCACACAGTGACCCGTGTGTGTGTCCCAACTCACACAGAATCCAACACCATCTCCCTGGGCCTTTAATACCAAGTCCAACAAAATTCAACAAGAAGTTTATTGGGTATGGTACCAAACCTGCCCAAACCTAGCAAATCCTACTGTTGGAGTTTGATGGAGATTGGACAGTATCATACAAATACACCAAGTGTCATCAATCATTCAGCCAGTGCTTGACAAGAGTCCTGTGTGATTTTTTTTTTCAGAATACGCCCCCCAGCCATTTAAGCTCCACCCCCAGCAGATTGCCACAGCCATGAAGATCCTGTCCCAGGTGTGCGCCATCGCCGACTCGGATCAGATGGCTCTCGATCTGGGTCGATTCATCAAGGTGGATCTGCTCTTCATCGTCCCGCCATCTCAAATGCTGTACCACCAGACCGTCTCCAGGCTCATCGAATCCAGTAAGTGCAACAGGCAATCTTCCCGAATACCGTCGCTGTTTTATGTTGAATTATTACTCCAAAATTATTTCGGAATCTACGCTTCTCCATTCTCTCACTTGTTATTGGTAGTTAATTATTTTGCCCATGGACCTTTATATTAAGTTAGTCCTTTAAGATGCTATCTTTCCAGTACATTGATATATCTAGCAGAATAACGTTGCTGTAAACGTGTTTGTGTAATCCTTAACATACAGGGAGCATTGCACGATTTTCCACCATTTATAAATGTTGTACAGTGCGCAGTACTCTCTTTGCACATTTTGCTCTTTCTCTTCCTAGTATGGTGCGTTACTGTGCTTTTTAAGTTTTTGCCTTAAGCGTCAAAGCAAACATGAACAAAAATTTCCACTGTTGCAAGCAAGGATTGGCACTGTCATAAAAGCTGAGCCAAATTCAAGTGCAGTGCAGCGTTTTGACAAAGTATGGGCTCGCTGGAATGATGAAGTCTTCCTTTCCCCCACATTGCCAGATTTGCTCATTGATCTTGGACTGACAACCACCAACAACCGAAAGACAGCCGAGCAGTATGTCATGCAGTGCAACACCTCCACGGAGAACCAGACCAAGTTTGACAACTTTATCAGCAAGGTCAAGATCATGCCGCACACGCTGTTTGTCCTGGTGCAAGACCAGGCCCATCTAGATATCTCCAGGTTTGTTCAGAGGCATTGTTATTAAGGATTCGTGACGGGGACTTCTTCAGGAACATTTTCTGTACGTGTTATTTTCTCTACTCCACTTAAATTTTCGAGAAAGATCGGACATCTCTTTTGTTACTCGTTCTAAAAAAGTGGACTTTAAAATTTTTTTGGAGTTTTCAATGCTTTTCCTGACAAATGAGGGCTCCGTTGCCATGAGGTCATAACAGGAAGACATTGTTCATTGTAGGGGGTTTCTGTTCGCATTCTGAACTCAAAATTTGTTCACTGAAAATATGTCTGAGGAAATTTTCCTCACTTGCCCTCTGTCATGAAGTGAAACACCAGTAAAGTATACAGTTTAAGTAAAATTTTCAAGAGCAAAGTAACCAAATTTCTGAGCACTTGTGATTTTCTGTTTTGGATGACATCACACTTTTGCTCGTAGATATGCAAATCAGCAATAACATAGAAATGAACAAGACACTGAAATGCCCTCAAGTGGCGCAACGAAAACTGGAAATCAGGACAAATAGGAAACAAAGGAGCGCTTAAAAGAACTGCATTAAAAAAACTCCATCAGAACGTTGATGTTCAGTGATGTTCCATTCTATGAGGCGGGTGGAATGTTCTATCTGCCACCTCATGACATTATTTCTACCACTGCCATTGTAAACATTCATCGTATCTATTATAACTTTAACACGTGTGTTGGGTAGGTATTCGGTCAGTCAGCAACAGCAGGGGGGCATTGTTCATCGCTACACCAACTGTCTGGATGTTTTGGACGCACCCAACATCCTGACCCTCCAAGTTTCGGGTCTCCCCTACAACCTGCAGACCAAGAAATCGCGGATCCCTCCACAGAATGAGATCTACATGCCCTCAGCTCTGAAACAGGTCCGTGACAGTGTGTCTAAAAACGTAGAGAGGATCTAACGAGCTGTCATACGGGCGAATTGTGCAATTTGCCATCTGAACATCATCTGTCACTCAGGCATAGTAAATGCCTCCATGCTGCTATTAGGCCTAATTGTGAGAGTTAATGTGTGCATGTACGGTACTGATATACACTAATAATTTTCGTTTGAATGTGTACAAGCTCCCTGTGTTTCTCCTCAATGTGCAAGTATAAGAAAGGTCTTTCTATGCATTTGTTACTTTTCACTGTGATGTTGTATCTGTGTTTTTTTAATGCAGTTACTGCACTAGTAACTGCTGAGATGCACAATCCAACTTTTATCTGAATGTGCACAAACATGCAGTGTTCTTAATCATGTACACAGCATGCCTCTCTATACAAGCATTTGTTCTAATCAGTTATAATATTGTATCACGTTTTTATGCAGTTGTCTTTATACCAGAATGCACATAATGGAGAGATTTCATTTGAATGTGCACAAAGTTATGGTGTCTTCATAATGTATGTGAAATATCTTTCTCTGCACACATTGTTTTCTTCATACAGTCATCTCCCCAGTCAGAAGTGGATACCACCTACTTTGGTATTGATGAGTATTGTAGTACTTTGTATTGGAGCAACGAAGCACCGCTGCTGCAGTATGATAATGTTTACCAGACTGTGGTGGAATCACTCCTACGGAGGTATGGTACATGAACCCAGCTACAAAGTCAGTCAAATTTGTTCCTTATTGTCATATCTTAGGTCAGTTTCTTTGATAGGGAAGGATAAAGGAAATGATACACCATCTGAAATATCCTAGTGGCAGTGTGGTATCTGGGTCCACGAGTCCCTGCAAGTCTGAGACAACATCACGCAACACAAGACAATGCAACACAAGACAACGCAACACAATGCAACACAAGACAACGCAACACAACATAATGCATTACAACACAATTCAACACAAGACAACGCAACACAACGCAACACAGCATAACGCAACACAACACAATGCAACACAACACAGGTCTCCCTGTCACAAGTCAAGAGACGTCAGGAGACTCCTGACGGCAACACAACACCGGTCACCCTGTCACAAGTCAAGAGACGTCAGGAGACTCCTGACGGCAACACAACACCGGTCACCCTGTCACAAGTCAAGAGACGTCAGGAGACTCCTGACGACGGACAGAGCACTCACTGTACAAAATGTAGAGTACCGGTTCTTTTCAGAACCACACATACTCACAAAAGAGATGATCCACATGGGGTCTCCGCAAACCTCCTACCTGTGAGAATTTCTGTGCTAACTCTTTTAGCACTGCGTGATGGTCATAAGCACAGATATGTGGCTTTCACAGCAATAAAAAACCAAATGGCATGATTTCTTTAAACCCACCATATCCTAGATCCAAAAATGGTCAAGTGTTGCCCTGTCTAAAATTGTGTGATATCCGACAGTTGCTTGTTAATTGCATTATTCCTTTCCCGAATGCTGTCCTGAGGAGTCATTGATTCGTGAGCATAGATCAAATGCTTTGTTCAGCTGCGGTTGTGCCCCTGTCATGGTTTACCATGAAAGTTTTCATGGAGGTGCCGATCGTCTTTCTCCAGGTACCCCAAGCTTCACAGCATGGTGGTCTGCACCTACCTGCTGATCCGCCAATACTCAGCTGCTCTCATGTCGCTAGCTGGTATTCCTGAGATCAGGGAAGACACTACCAGCATCACCTTCAAGATTCTGCAGGTAAAATCTAACCTTTGATCCTACAAAATGCACTGAAATGTTTCAAGGATTTTGTAGGATAGGGGAAGGTAGGGCCCAGCCAGTGTTAATTTATGTGGGGCCAGGTGGGCATTGGAAGTTCTGGGATAAGAAATATGCTATCAGGTTTTAGCGAAGTTGAGGATTTTGCAGGATGCGGGAAGGTTGCTAGCAAGATTTTTTCGAATTGTTTCTTGAATTTATGTCTTACTCTCTCAACAAATCAGAACGGTTGTGTTTGTGGACTTCAAACAAGAACAGGATAAACTGCCGTGCAATGAGGGGGACACACTGCATGCCATGCGCTTTCGTCAGAATGTGCACAAATTTTCTGGTGTCTTGTCAGATCTCTCTTTTGTCACTGTTGGACACCACTTTTGCACGGAGACACTATCCCCCCCAAAATACTTTTGCTTCCGACGTTGTTCCAGGATCTCATCGCCGCCCCTCTGGAGAGTGACAGTGGGCAAGGTCACATGATCCTGCTGCGCATCCCATGTCCCCAGCTGGCCATTCTTGCGCACGACAAGCTGCGCACCGTCCGGGACAAGCTGGGCTTTCAGTATCGGCTGGACATCCTGCTGTGCGGCAGCGATCAGGAGTTGGTTGTGGATGAGTACTTCTTGAAAAGACTTCAGGTGGGTGTAGCTATCGAAGAAAGCCGTGTTAAAAGTACAAGATATATATCGTCTCCAACTGGGTACCTTCATGCATCAACTAATAATAAAACCAGATTGCCCAAATCCATTTGTTCTATGTTTAGAAAAAATGAAATGTATTTGTTATAATTTCAGACTTGGCGAGGTGCAGATCCGTCTTGGAAGCCACAGACGTATGAAGATCTGGATGGATTACCGTGTATCGTCGTCATGACAAACAAGACCATTACTGGAGAAACGATGCCCAGGTAGGTAAAGCAAACCCCGACCAAAGACAGCTTATCCATCTGTTTGTTTCCGAGGAGACCTTTTTGTTGCCTCAATCTGATTTGTTGCCCAATTGTTGACCAATCATAGGTCACTCCGGGTCGTCGACCTGCGGCTGGTCAACCACGGCGTCTTCGACCTTTCCAGTCTGGAGCAAGAGCTGGGCCTGGCCTGCCGTTACGTCCCAGTGGATGCTATCGACCCCATCGTCACGGTGACGGAAGACAGCGACAATGAAGATGACGACGATGGGGAGAGCGAGAGTGGGATGGAGTACGAGATTCCCGTCCCGCCGGGGCTACACATTGACCTGGGGTCACAGGCCGACAACATGTCAACTAAATCAGGTCAGAGTTCAGGGGATGACCTTGGCTGATACCTTTAGCTATTAGTTTGAGTGGCAGGCCATGCTTTTGATAGAAGATCCTAGCCACACAAGAGGAGTACCTTAGGGTTAAGGCTAGGCCTAGTATGTCAGAGATTATCTTGCATCCATCTCCATACAGCCTTGCTTCCTAAATCAGGCCGGGAGATTTGGTCACAGGCTGACATTTTCATCTGAATCCGGTCAGAGTTCGGCAAATGACCCGGGATCGCAGGCAAACAGTATGTTAACTGAATCAAAGTAAAGTTCAACAAATGACTTTACAGTCACATCTTGCCGGCAGCACGTCAGATAAGGTCAGAGTTTAGGAAATGACCTTGCTGTGAACTGCAAATTCCACCTCATGTGGTCTGTTTGTTGTTGTGATGCCCTTTGACCTTTCCCCTCTGTGCCTAGCTTCAAGTTCCATTATATTTGCATGTGAACTGCGTTTTCAGTATTCGTTAAGGCTGCACATTCTAATGTTTGAAGGATGATGACACACTTTTGTTTTCTGTCCGATAGATGCTGTAAGTAGCGCACGGTCCACTCCCAAGCTGAGTGTAGCAGCAGACACCACGGCTCGTCTCTCGACATCCTCCCACGGCAGCGACAAAGAACAAGCTCCGACTGACCCTCACTCCAGTAACGTCAGCTCCCCTCCACCGACCGTCACCCCGGGCAAGCCGCTCACCCCTGCCAAGCTGGTGGTCCATTCCACCCCTCCTTCCACCAGCCTGGAGTCCATCGGCATGGTGACGAGTTCGGTTCCCATGGTAACCGAGCCACCTTCCCACCAGCCCGAGACGGACGCCGCGTCCGACCTGGGGGATAACGGCCCGGTCAAAGAGGAGAGAGAAGTGGAGGGTTTGGGGCGCTGCGAGAGGATTGTGGAGGATAGGTTAGAGCGCCCTCCGTTGGTCATCGTGTCCCAGTCGGTTTTTGAGGTGGTCAGCGGAAAACACGAAAAGGTTCGTGCTGTCATTTTGTATCATATTGATTAAACACTACAGATTTGAAAATGAACGAAATGAAATAGAATTCCTCCACAGGAAAACAGACAATTGGTTGTACTTGGTCTTTGATAATTACTTGTGCATAAGCCGGCCATTAAAGATTGTATCTTGAGCATAGCTTCATTTCTCGAAGTGCTTAATTGTCCTATTTACCTTTTGTGAGTGTTCATTTTCACTTCCACAAGTCCTTCAAGAGGCAAGACATTTTTCATGCATGCATTTTGTGAACCAGACCAGTCAGATTTAAAGGGAAAAAGTAGAATTAACATCGCAGCAGCCATTACAACATTCAACACAATTTGAGAAGCTTTAGGACAATGAGCCTTTTGGGATTCAAATCTGGTACACTTTCTTTAAATTAACATGACCATAACAATTTCAATTTGCAATACCAATGACACTACCCTTCATGATTTGGGGCAAGCCTTTGGTTAGTTACATAAGAGATGTCTTGTAACAATACACTGTTTTCGATGGATAAGAAGGGCACAAAGGAACCAGTCCATTCCAGAGATGGTGGTCGCTATGCAAAGGTTGCCCTGAATCACAAGGTGTCAACAGTGTCTTTAGTCTGGGGAATTCAAATTGTTACGTTTATGTGAAATCAGATAACTCAGTGTACCAGATTTTATTTGAATTTAACTCAAAAGTTGGCAGATCAAGAAGGTTAGAATGCCTGACGTTTGGATCTTAGCGGAATTTTTATTAAAAAACGACAAGATGGTGTTATTTCACTTTCATCATATTACAGCAAAATGGCCATTCTGTTGCCTCACTGGTACCCAGCAGTGACACCGTGTGGTCCACTACACTGAGGCCGGTCTCTAGCAAAGATCCAGAGGTGAAGAGCGCATACTACCGGCACTGGACGGAGCCCAAACCGCATCACTACGACTACGAGCGGAAAGGAGAGGGTAACATCACCTACCATCCCCGCAGATTGCTGTTGTATGGACCGCCAAAGGTGACAAAAGTGTTCATTGCGGTTTTATATGAACTGCCAGTGGTGACAAAATTGGCTATTTGTAACTGTATAGATTGTCAGAAGAGACGGCATTGTTAAATGTTGTAGTATGAACTGCCAAATATTAAAAATTGATACTGTTGTATGGACTGCCCAAAGTGACAAAAAATAATCAGTTGATAATACAAATTCTTTGTGAGATTTGTGGTCACCAAGAATCAAGTCAACTGCAAATCAAATCACGTCTGAATCTCAAGTCGGGTATTAACGAGTGGCCAAAAAATGCTTTGATCACAGTTCATTTCAATAGGTTTGAACTTGACCTGACACTAGATAACTTGACTCATGTGTGATTGACTGTGAGGACTTGTAATGCAAATGTGAAGACATGTGGTGGATGTCTGAGGACATGAGGATAGACTTGTGAGGACTCCTGGGGACTTTTTTGTCTGCACTGATGTTTCTGCATCTCCACAGGTCGGCAAAACGGGGACCTTCTTTCATTTCCTGCGTGTCTTGTCACGTATGCTGATCCGACTGCAAGAGGTCGAGGTCATCGATGAGGAAGAGGAAGTGGAAGTGCCCTCTGGTGACGAGAATGTGCCGGGAGCGGCGGCCATTAAGTGGCCAGATTATGACACCTTGGTCAAGATGCCGTTTGATTTTAGCCTGAGAAACAGTGGATTCAAGAACCACAGTCCTATATGGACAGAGGACATTAAACTTGGTACGTTCATCAAATAGAACCAGTTTGATTAGTTAGGCAGTTTCATCCGTCCTTATTGGCACCAAATTGCAGCTTGCTGCGTGGTTGGTTGAGTGCTAAAGATCAAGTACTTGAGCTGTTAATTGATTGATTGCACCTGCTATCTCTAGGTAAGGCCAGTAGCAGTGATTCGGAGGGACCCAAGAAGCCATCCACTGTGTCGGTCAGACTGACTAAGTACAGCGCCCACAATGCATTCCACCACTGCGATCAGTGTCTCAACTACAAAGACATCTCAGCTGTGGAGGTAATACACCTGTCATGCCATACATGTCAAAGATGTTTAATTGGAGCAATATGCTGGACTCCCAAAGGTTATTCCTTGAAAGGTCTATTTCTGACTTGTAGGTTGAAATCAGTAACCATGCAATGTTTTATCCGCAGGCATGCTTTCAGTGACAATATGGCACTACGATTTTTCTCAATAAAATACAATTTACGAAAAATAATAAGCATTGTAGTTATTTTAGATTTTTAACTATTGTTTGGCTTGAAAATTGATGTTTTTCACGAGTCAATTTCGTGCGGTAACATCAGTCGTCGGTGATGTCAGAAATGCCATGCAAACGCATGACGCAGTGTCCATCCACGAGGTCCTCTATTGTCCATTGCTGCTTCGTTTGTGCAGTTTACATGTGTGCAGTACGTAAACTATGGATGTATAAGCAAAATCAGTCTGGGGCCCAGACTACTGTGCTCACTTGCTCGTTCCCATACGAATCAAGCTCCAAGTTACGCAACAGTGTAAAAGAGGATTTTTTTTCAGAAATAAGGATTTTTAAGGTGAAATCGTAATTTTGGGTCAAGTGAGATTGGTAGCTCTGATCTAGCAAATGAGGTCAGTGCGAATTTAATTAACCTGTTGACTGCCGCCCATACACAATTTCACAGGGCGTTCCCATTTGTCAAGCGTTGTACACATGCGCACATATTTAATAGGCTGTACCTTTCAGGTGTCTGTTTGAAGAGGAGCATTTTACAGGTGTACGCCCTCCGCACGGCCAGCAGGATATTTGTCGTGTTCTTCGTTGATGCCAACGTCTTCAATTCATATTACAATAGCCTTTCATTTCCTACAAGTATGCTCATTGTGGCAGAATCCGGTACACCTGTTACTATGAGTAAACTTGTAGTCAGCAGTCAACTTGTTAACTCGATGGTATTACTTGGAGGGGCTGCGTAGCCCCCAGTGGGGGTCCGTCAAAATCTTGAAATATACACAACCTATGTACAAGCCGCAGTTAGTCGACTTTCGGTGGCCCCCTGGAAAAATTGAGTGCAGCCCGGTAGGCTCTATATATTAAGTTGTAGATCTTTACTGTTTTCTCTTTACTTGTTTTTGTGTTTGTAATTTAGGCTCGAGAAACCAAAGCATACAGTATTCGGCTGTCGTCTGTTCTATTTGGCAAAGATCTAGAGCTACAGTTTATCATCCCACCCCAGCAAGAGAAGCATTTTGTATTCAGCCAGCGGACAGGCCAAATGATGAGCATGGTATTGCCAATCATGAGTGAACAGGTTAGTGACTGGAAAAAAGACTAGCATTTCCAAAATCCAGAATGGATCGTTGCAGTAATAGAGAATTTTAATGGCTGGCTTAAGATTGCAGCTGACTGTCTTTCTGGTAAGCTTGTCCCAGATGAGACAAGGAACTGAGCCCTAGCATTGAGCTGGGGCCAATTTCATAGCGCTGCTTAAACATTCCGTTTAAAGGCTCACTTTTTTGTACGAGTCTAGCACAGTATGCTAGCCTGCTCAGAGAGTGTCACATATCAGTACGAGGATCATGGAATCAAATTTAAATGCCCGAGGAACTTTTTGAATCCATCCCCTGAAATAAATCTTATTGCTCAGAATTTTAAGCAATGTTTTAGGCACTTTCTGCAAACCAGAAATTTATCACTTTCAGGTCAGACTGTTCTGTAAACGGCGCATGTTTTTTTCCCCAAAAGATGAAACAAGAAATAAAAGGCAATGTGCTGGCTGCAATTTTACTCAGATATTCTGAAACAAAATTGTTTGGTCTTCAATGTACAGCTAATAATCAACTTAATAGCAGTATGTCAAAATCTCCACTTTTGCATGGCATTGCCCTCAGTGGTTCACGGATCATTGTTCGCCGTCCCGCAGGGTCCCAATGCCATTAAGACGCCCATCTTCATGTGGACCTTTGGACGGCATGAGCACGGATTGATCAACCTCCACCATACCATGGAGGGCAGCAAACACATCCATGTGCTGGTGTGCAAGCAGAAGGACGCGCTGGCCTACGAGAAACAGTGGCCCAACCACATCATCCTGGTCCTACCGTCAGTGGTGAACGATGCCGGACCAGGTTAGATCTTAAAGTAACTTACACTTCAAGTTGATTCTGAGAACTTCACCTTAAACAGTGTGCAAGTGAATATTGTAATGCAAGTCACCATCGGCCTTGAGCAGAAGCCCCCCCCCTCATGGGTTGGAAAGAGCCACATTGGTCAGGAGTGTTCATGTTGTTGGTAGCGATGTGATTGCAATGCTTGCATTTCCTGGTTGTTTGTGAACCAGAGAAACGCAGTTAGTGCCAAAGGAGCCTGCGTTGCTAAGGAAGTAGCGCCCTCCGTTGGTCCAGTTGGAGGCCCATAATGGTACACAGCTGTGAGTCCTCTGTTTCCAAGCTACAGCGCGTTTCCCCCCAAAAAATGGTGAAGCGAATAATGTACAGTTAAACATAAGAATTTATGGATTACATGGTTTTAAAAAGGGAAAAACTCAGCTTCAGGATGTTTTAATTTCAGTGTATTTGCTGTTGGCAATTCAGAGACATACTCCAATAAACACAAGTATTCAAAAGTGACTTTGTTCCAATGTTCAGTTCAAACGAGTCACTCCTCAAAATTTAACACACAGAGCTGTCAAATCTGGAAAAGTTGAAAGGCGGTCTAGATCTAGTCATCAGACTGCAAGAAGACTGTGTTTTGGGTCGTCGGAGTTTATCTGAAATAGAAGAGAAAAACCCTTCCGAATGTTGCCTCCACAGGCGCCGCCAAGTACTTCATCAAGGAGTTGGCCTACAACAACCTGCAGCTGGAACGTAGCAGACAGGAGGAGTTGGGGGTCAGTCGGCAAGAAGTCTGGCCGTTTATCATCATCACCGACGACTCCTGCTTTGCTTGGCATGAGTGTGTTCCTGGCAAGAATGAATCAAGGTCAGGGGTTGCTCGAGGTCACTCAAGGTCTCATTGTTGGGGAGAGCGACTCGCATGTGGGTCATTCCACAAATTCGGGGTCCAAAGGTGTGACATTTCTGTGTCCCATGTTTCACCTGAACTGTAGAATTTGACATTTGACTTATCATTGAAATTGATTTCAAACCATTTCTAGTTGTTTGGCAGGTAATTTGCATCAGTTTATCACTCTTGGAAATTAGAGAATTTATTTTGAACTTACAAACCATATGTCAGATGTGACAGGGACACGAAAAATTCGGACCCTGAAGTTGTTAGAATTACCCACATGACCTGTTCTTTCGTGAGAACAAACACCAACATGTGTTTCTAGACATGACATACCCAAAAAATTGCAATCAATTATTTTTACTTTTCATGATCAATTATTCTGACCTTCCTTTGGACAATCAATTGTCAGGGATAATTAATTACATGTTGCCAATTGCCACAAAATGAGCCTGAAGTCCATTTTTTCAGTAATTTTGTTCTAGTTATCATTAGAAAGAGTAAATTGGGGTCTTTGTTTTAATATATAACTCATTTTGGCGTGCTGGTAAAAATGGGCATAGTGTAGATATGAAAAGTTGAGGGTTCCTGTTGATACCATGTAATATTATTTAAAGATCGAGAATTCCAAAGTTGCTGTGGTGACCTGTGACTCGTTTTGTTAGGTTGAGCCACAAATACCTTTTCTTGGAAATGTAATAGGAAGTGCTGTAAAAGTTGGTAGCATTTTAAAAGTTAAGAATTGAGTAAACAGAGCATTCTTATCAATTGCTTTTTTCCCACCAAATCATTTTTAGTTCCGACATGTTTCTAGCGGTAATTCTTTCTCACGCTTTCACTTTTGGCAGAATCGATTCCCTCATATCCTTGAAAGCCTTGATCGAAGAAGTGGAGGCCGTACCCAAGCTGGGTAGCTTCGCCGTGATTGGCCTCCAGCAGTGGTCCAGCAGGTCAAAGGGCACGGTCAAAGGTCAGCCCTTCTCCCGCTGTCACCCGTACAACATGGTCTTTCTGAATCTGGAGGAGACACAAAACGTACAGTATGATCACCACAGGTCAGTGTTATGTTAAAGTTGCCTCTGATGTAATTGATACATAAGCACTCACTCAGTCACTCTTGAAGTGGAGTACTTGCAAGCACTGGTCACTCGTCATCGCACATACTTTTACTAGTTGGGCAAAAACAAAAGTATGTCTTCATTATGCGTGTAGTTCAAATGAATATCTTGTGACGTAAATTGAGATCAAGGTACCTGTGACATATTTGTACTTGTGGAGTAACAGTGCGTACCTTTGAGTGATTATGTGATAGTGAGTTGTTATGAAGTAACATGAGTACTTGTCAGAAATAATGAGTACTTGTGAAGTAATTGTGAGTATCTTTGAGTGATTGTGAATTGTTCGTTCTTTTCGAGTTATTATGAGTACTTTTGAGAAATTGCGAATACTTGTGAATTTTGAGTACCTTTGAGTGATTGTGATGCGAGTTCTTATGAATTAATTGTGAGTAGTTGTGAGTAGTTGTAAAGTAATTGTGAAGTACTCTACCACAATGCAATGTGTGAGTGCCAGCAGTGGTGGTCTATGCACAGAATGGATCAAGGGCTCCCATTTTAGAAGTTTGCTATTTCAGTAAACAAGAACGTTTGATATCCAACAGAAATCGTGCATACATGTTTCTTTGCCTGCTGTGTGTAGGTTTTTTAATGAAGACATGGATTTCAACCTGCGTGCTCACAGCAGCTCACTTCTCCTCTGTCAGCTCAACCGATTCTCGGTCATGAAGAAACTCATTCCTGTAAGTGATGACGTCAACGTGATGCCATGCTCAAAGGTAGGAAATGCACCATTGTAATAGACCATGTACTTCACAGCCATCTTGGATGGCAGTTCTTTTGTACCGCTTGGATAGGCCCTGCTACATCTTTTGTTCTAAGAAACTGCATTGAAATGATAATGCTTATAAAGAGAGAAACTCTGTTACAATAGGCCATGTGCATGTTAGCCATCTTGGTGGCCATTGCTTTTATTCTGCCAAAGTAGACCAGCTGCAGGATCCTATCTTGTGAAGGTTGTGAAAGGCTGTTATTGATTTTAGAATTTATTTAAACAGATTTTGTAGTGTCAATTGCTGTTGAAATGTTCCTTCAAAAGATTCCTTTTATCCAACAGTCCTCATCACCAGGTGCGAGCGGGCATTCCAAAAGTAAGATCCTCTTCCGTCACTACGTCTCCACGCCCGACAGTGAGGAGCTGGTACCCCTCCTAGCCCCGCCCCAGTATCTCCTCGAGCGCTTTCTGGAAAACATGAGTGGTGAGCGACTCTTCCCACAGGCCGTCAACAATGTGGAAAATCCTGTCCTGCTGGTTGATTGCTACCTCAATCTGGGGCCTGAGATTGCAGGTAGGGACGGCTGTGTACTCAAAAGCAGTACTGTAGTCCAGCCCATCACAAATCCTCACAAGCCCATCAAAAGTCCTCACAAGCCCATCAAAAGCCCTCACAAGCCCATCAAAAGCCCTCACAAGTCCATCAGAAGCCCTCACAAGCCCATCAAAAGTCCTCACAAGCCCATCAAAAGCCCTCACAAGCCCATCAAAAGCCCTCACAAGTCCATCAGAAGCCCTCACAAGTCTATCAAAAGTCCTCACAAGTTCATTTAAAAACCTTATAAGTTTATCAAAGTCTCTTACAAGTTTATCAAGAGTCCTCACAAGTCTTCTGACGAGTCACAAGGTACCCCAATGAACTACAACAGAAGCATTTTTTTGTCATTGTCCATCCTCTTATTTTGGCCGGACTGAATGACTGGAATTTGAGATGGACTTAAGTACAGCAAATGGTCAAACAAGGGGCTTTGACGTTTTCTTGCCATCTTATGGCATTATGGGCATTATGTCCTCATAAGGTAAGGTAAAAAGAAATGAAAATATTGCTTATAGGCGTTTGGGTGTTGTTGACCCTATTCACCCTCATTCAGGTTGTTGTTTTTCATATGATGCAGAGATGCTGAGGTTTTTATGCACATTCAATTGAAAATTGGCCGCGGTGATTCACTCATACCTTGGTTATAAGGGGTGCTTGCAAGCAGTGTATGCTTTGCTGGCTCTCAAGAGAAACCAGCACTGCCGTCTTCACGTACAGTTGGAGTGAAGCCCACAAAGCAAACTCCCCTCTGAAAATTTCTTAGATTTAGTGACGATTTTTCTCAAACCAGTACGTTGATTTTTCAATTCCCAGTCCATTTTGTAAGTTCCCGGCCTCACTCCATCAACACCACTCCTGATAGCCTCCTGTTTAGCGGTCTGCTCCTGTACATGTGCGACGCCTTTGTGGAAAGTTCCTTCTTGAAACAATTCAAGTTTGTGTCAGGTACGGCTTTCATTTCTTTTAAAACTCCCTGAGAATACTGTTATGTTAAATTTAGACAATTCAAATGAAAATCATACAAATATTGTTAATATATCAATAGTTTTCTTTGATTTTCATGGGACTTTTGAAAACGCTGATGAATTTTGCAAAGGATTTTAAATAACAGAGTATTCCATGCTCTCACATAGCATTTTTTGGAATGGTGCTTGACAGTTGTTATATTCTGTTTGTTCTTTGCCACACCAGGTGCCAGACTCTGCCTTATAAGCCCAGACAGGAGCACTCTCCGTCGTCAGGTTGTCCGATTGGACCTGGAAGATCGCTGGCGATTCCGTCTGAGGGACGAGTTCCAAACGGCCAATAGGACGGAGGATCGACCGCTCTTTCTGTTAACAGGAACATATGGCGACTGAAGAACATATGTCTTGTGGCAATGTACAGAAAGCACTTTGTGTATCCACTGGTGTACCGTTTCAGTATTGGCATCTGAGCTCCACGCTGCGTGTACAACGGCTGAGCAACATTTGGCCAAGTACCAGCCACAGTCATGCAAAATGGTGGGCAGTTGGCAGGCGACCAGCATCATATCAGCCTGTTTTCATATATTCCTCTGAATTTAGTCTGAGCACTAAGCACTTTGCATTAGATCGTGGTTGGGTTGATTTTTCGTAAAGGTTGGCACAGTTGTTAGAGACAAACTACACAGGAAATCCATCTTGGAAATGGCTCTGAAAATTAAACTGTAACCAAGCATATAAAAATATGACCTTTTTATACTCAGTGCACTGCGTCTTCTTGGGTATTGTGTGTCTTTCGCACAGAGAAAGGGTCAGAAATGTAAAAGCAACATTAAAAATAATTACAAAGTATAGAATTGTGTGTGTGTGCATCTTTCCTATTGTATAAAATTTCAAATTATTGTTATACAGTCTTGTATTTCGTTCAAACATTCCCTCTTTGATGTGAGCATTACTGTGTAATTTCCAATTGCATTGTTATTTCTATCAGATTGAAACCTTTGAAGCAGCTCGGAAATAAATGCAACCATACCGACGGGTTTGTTTCAATTAGAGTTACTTTTTGTCGGAAAAAAAAATATTGAATTATCCAAGCAGTGTTGAATTCGGCATTTTACAAAGTTGCTGAAGAGGACATGTTGTTAATTTACACTTCCATCAACTGCCACAAGATTAAGGGTTTTTTATTGCATCCTAAATTTAAATACAGGAAAAACCATTCTCCAGTTGCATTTTTTATCAGCTTTTACCTTTTAAAGTTGTAAATACGTTTAACTGAGGAATGCAGACCCATAAAGGGGCATTAATTTAAGAAAGGACTGAATCTTTTACATTTGCAGATCTATTTAAAGTGCCACAACTTTTTTTCCAGGTGTTCAGAATTTGTGATCAGATCACGCAAGATGCTTCACGAGACTGAAAGTTGGAATTATAGGAAGAGCAAACTGATCTCACTTTGTTTATTCATCGCTCACTTTGCCATCTTGATGAGAATGGGCATTACGTGGGTGAAAAAAACTGACTTCTATAATGCAGGATTCTTTGAAAAGCCTTTAACCAAGGAATGGTTTGGGACATTTGTGTTTCATTTTAATGGGTCTCTTTTTGTGTTTTCTTTAACTTGGACAGTGGAGATTGTTGAAAAATTTCCAGTTTTTCGACAGGGTTGCACTTCAGACTTCTCGTGAAAAAAACCCTATTTTTGTTTCAGAACACCTGTCATAGCTGGTTATCCTTTCCGTTCATTGGCTTGATGTACAACAACAGTGAAAGTATTTTAAAACCAGCTACTTTGATCAGCAGCAGTTGTAAAAATGAATCTTGCTCGACATCTGATATTGGATAGGTACCGTATACCCTGACTATATTTTTGATAAATGTTCTGTCCCTTAAACTTCATGATGACTTGATGCATGAGTGCCCCAGAATGGTAATTACATGTACCGGTGTTTCTAAAGAGTAAGTTAAAATAACAAATGTTCCCTTTTATTAACAAGTGCTTATTGTAAATGAAATGACTGTGTGCACAATGCGTGTACTTGAATATATACATGTATACTAATAAATGTATTAAAAAGTCACCAAAAATTGTCTTTGAGTATTGCTTGTACATCAGTTTTTATTTTGAAGTCTGTAGAACTTCTCAAATTTCAAACATGAGTAATATTGAACAGGATAATTTCATTTGGTGTTGTGACCTCACAATGCATCTTCCCCTTAATTGTGTTCCCAATCCCGAACCCGAAGTTTTCGGTGGGGGAACTCTTGTGAACTGTTTGTGCAAATTAAAGCCTTTTGAGGGTTGAGCCTATAATTTAGGCCTTGTATATACTTTTGGAAGGAAAAGAAATGACACAGTCCAAAATAGAATTCGGCTCTCGTTTAACTTTAAGGCATGCTACAGGGACCGGGATTGGACGTCATCTCATTGCGCACCCCCACTAACAAATTACGGCATCTCCCAATCTTATAGGCAGCCAGATTCTTCGCTTTTCTTACTCTCATGCTTCTGCACTTCACTTAAACATTAAGAAATACTTCAAATGTTAAAAGGAATTCATAGTGGGACCCCCTCCGTTCGTAAACAGGTTTGGTTCATAGTCGCGCCCCCAAAAATTTTCCTTAAATTGGTTTTCTTCCTCGATCTCAACACGTCCGCGCTTAACGCGTATTTGCCGTACGCTATTACTTGAAATGTGTACTTTGTTGCTCTGGATAAAAGGTTGAAGCCGGTTGTAGCAGCCATCTTGGAGTCGAAAGCGTTGGGAACGAGACTTCGGTAAGAGCAAATCCTCACGCATTTCGCTTTATTTAAACACGGTATGGGTTGAAATCGATTCGTAATACTTCAGTTTTCAAGTTGGACGCTCGGTGTTTTCTTTTGCCTTATTTCTAAATAAATTTAAGCTGGATGGACATCATAATAATTTCCTTCGAAATAAGAGATATCCTTGACTTGCAAGAACCTCGACCTCCATTATCTCGCAACAATAGCAGTAGGAGCTGCAAGACAAATCAACTTGTCATCTCACAGTCTTTGTCACAATCCTATCTTCATGCATTCTTTCCTAAGATGGCAAGAGATTGGAACAAGCTGCCAAAACACATGACTTCTGTCATGTCCGTGGAGAAGTTATTTAGCTCAAAACAGCACTAGGGCTAGCCCCACTGCTAGTGTGGCACGGACTCTCACTCCCGATCTATCCTTAGCCACACATCCGTATACGCGATTTCGTGTCGACGTATTGAACATTCCGGCGCACCCACTTATCATCGTGGGCCCAATTTCTTTTGCACACGAACATGATTCTTGACCTTTCCGCTTTCTAAAAACCATTTATTGAATGATTTCACTCACGTTATTCAGGTATTTTCCAGTCTTTTTGCCTTTATCCATTCAATCTAATGGGCTCGCTCTCTCAGTCGCCATCTTTAAAATAAGGTCGTTGAGCATTACGTCACTTGACCCCTCATCGTCTCGACGGATGTTCCATGTCAAGATACCTAAAGTGCTGCCAAAGTTTTGGAAGAGCCCATTGCTACATGTAATATCTTATCGCTCAGTCCGTGTATTACATGTCTAGACGGATGTGTGGCTAAGGATGCAGCAGTAGCGAGTGTCCATGCCATACTAGTGGGGCTAGGTTTGAAAGGGAAACCTGACCACACGTAACAATTCTCATTTGACTCAGAATCACCATGTCTGCCCTACCGAGACCACAGATGAGAGGCTTGCTTAACAGTCATCTCAAGAAGCACTTTGCCATTGGAGTGGTTCTGGCGATTGCGGGTGCTGCAGGCGTCAAATTCTTCAGTGAGTGCATTTGTAATTTGCCTGAATGAAACTATTATTATTATTATTATTTGCCACCGCACTCGGGAGTGTAGTGTCCCAGGTCATCAGGCCTGTAAGAATTATTTTCATAATTGTTTTTTCCCTCAATAGATGTATTTTTTTCTCCACTAAAATGTGCTTTCCAAATTTTTTATCATGGAATCCTAGGGCTGAGTCAATTTAAATAATTCTCTATTCGAATATTCAACATTTAATTCGATCGAATATCCGAATATTTGGTCGCACCGACTGACAGATAGTTGATAAACAAACCATATACAAAATCAGTTGCAATAACATACACAATTGTACATTATAATCACTATAATAACTTCTTACATCCAGGAGTATCTCCAGCCACGATTTAGCAAAGTTTAAGAGATGAACAGTACCTCTTGCCCTGTTCAAAAGTGGGTTTGCATGGCTGCCATATTGTAGGCTACTGCTTTAGTTCCACAGGGTATGCACATAGGAGGTTTCCCTGTGGAACAAAAGAACTGCCCTGCAAGATGGCTACCAGGCAAAGCCTCTATAATGGGAAGTGAAGGGAATTTTTGACTGGGATTGTTATGACCGAGTTAATAGTTAATAAGTTCTCTTTTTTGCCGACTAACCGTGTGCAATTTTGTCTTCATCCCCACAGTCTACGATTGGAGGAAGGCCAAGTACGCTGAATTCTACCGGACGTACGATGTACAGAAGGACTTTGAGAGGATGAGAGAACTAGGGGTGTTCCAGTCTGTCCGTCCACTCAGTGAATCAGGAGGGGATGAATAGATGTCTTACTCAGTAGCCTAGTTACACGTAAGCCTTGAGGTATCGTTTCTCTGGATGAGTCCAGGGATATTCTCTCTAGAAATGCCCAATGGCCCCCTTTTATGGAGGAAGGTATTGTGTTGGGTTTTGTACAGAGCAACTGCCACGGTGCACTTACAGTGTACAGTTCAGTAGTTGTCACAGTGGCTTTGGCTTTCGCCATTGAAGGGGGCCGTCAAGGATCCTAGAAACTTCCCAGAAAGTTTGACATTTGCCGATGCATTCCTCTGCCGTGGGTGCACTGTTATGTCAGACACCTGTGGAATGCGTTGCTGTTTTATGGTTTTCTCTTTCTTACGTTAACCACTATATGCTGGGCCCATTTATCCACTTAACCACTTTATGCTGGGCCCATTTATCCACTTAACCACTTTATGCTGGGCCCATTTATCCACTTAACCACTTTATGCTGGGCCCATTTATCCACTTAACCACTTTATGCCGGGCCCATTTATCCACTTAACCACTATATGCTGGGCCCATTTATCCATGTTGATTCTGCTGGGCCAGGTAATTTTTTTCTGTTTTCAAAATTCTTTCAAAATTCATAACTTAATTTACTGGACGTTTACACCCACACGAATGACTGTCTGGTGGCTACTCTAATCTGCCAGAAACATCTACTGGCGCCCGAGTATTTCAGCCAGGCCTGCTGCCTTGTAAAAAGAGCCCAGATTGTGTGGTGTTACGTAATTTTCTTTTGTTCCCGAAACCAGCACAGTGTGCTGCTGACGTCACTTCAATACGGGCCAGATTAGCGTGCAGTGGTATTGTATGGCTCATCACTTGAACGCTGGAGCATTTTTGTCCCTGTTGGTAATCTGCTTGTGCTGAATGCCACAAACAGTGGTATAATCCTTCAAAACAATGACATATTTCCTCCGCTATTGACAACTGAAACAATGTTGGCAATGCCCAGCAGCTTGGTCTTTTGTTCCGAGTACGGTCATTTGTTAGAGGGCCCACAGCTCTTTTGTCTGATTTCGGGCACCCCGGCCATGTGTATAAAGCCAATGTCTCTGAAACCGGGCTCCCCTGTAGCAAGTGGTTAAGCATAAAAATGTCACACTCTAGGTGCCTGTAGATTAAAAGATCAGAAACATGTAAATGATTTCATCAAAACCTTACACATGTGGTTGGATTTTTCCCGAATTCAGGATTTTGAAAACAATGCCTTTTAAAAATCTTGAAAAAGCCCGAGTCTGTTAGGTGCTTTTACATGTAAAACTTGACACAAAACACAAAAAATGGTTATTTTGAAGGATTGCCTTAAGGCAAGCACAAAGGTGCACGTATTTCATTGACCCTACGCTACCGCAGGGCACTCAAAAACCTCTGGTGATTATTTCATGGCTAATCCACTTTCCTCCAATCTCTCCCCCCCCGGTTGTAGTGGAATACATCTTGTGAATTTCTCCAGGATGTTGCTCGACAATTTTTTTTTCCCTTGATCTTTCGCAACAGGTTTTTCCTTCAGTTGTGTTGTATCAACTTGTAACCGAAGGGGAGAGTGTTGCTGTGGAGATGGAACCCGGAAGGAAATGGAAACCCAAACTAAGGAACTTCAATTGGTTTTTTTCTTATCCCAGCCAAATCACCATAAACTTTCTGGAGCATGGACATCAACTTCATTTCCCTGCGTCCAAGCATATGAAGGGACGAATCTTCAACAGCCTTGAATCGTGCATAGTAGCAAGCTTGCGGTATCCAGCTCCATTTCCTTGACTAGCTTTGACAAAATAGTTCCTGTTTTTCACATGGTGTGTAACTTTTTAAGAGAAATACACAATGAAGAAAATGTAGCATTCAGTTTGTAGTCGGTTTTAATGTCCAAACTTTTAAAATAAATCTTGTCTTGTGGTTTAAAAATAAAAGATTATTCGTGGGAGTGCATGACTGATTTGCTGGAAACATCTGACCAGGAATTGCAGCATCGTTAAACCTAACCCCCAGCCTGCTTTGGCTAGAAACCCTGCCAGATGCATCAAACTGCATCGTTTGTCAAAGCGGCTTAACTGCCCAGTGTAACAAGATCCAACAGGTCAACTCTCCTCAAGGCCAAACAGCCTGGGAGTCTGGGGTTGCCAATCACCAACAAGATCCAACAGTGGCATCGTTCAATGGGACTAGCTCCCATTGTCTCAACATGGCCAGTTTGTTCGGCTGCCGTTGATTGCCAAGTGCATCAGACTTTTTCTTTTTCACCTGATGGACTCTGCTGCATCTGGCAGGGTTAGGGTTAAATACAAAATACTTAGCAGTTACGAAATGGCTTAGCCAGTTTACAATTCAGCTAAGCAAATTTGAAAACCAGTTGAAAGTAAATAAGTGTATGCATCTCTCCTTTCCAGTTCAACCGGTTTCTCTTTGCTTTGCCAAACTAAACAGACCTTATGTTCAGCAAAGGTGTTTCACCTCTTAAGTGGAGTAATTTATGTTTTAAAGAGAAATGTTTGAATAAAATAGATCTGTAAAAACAACACACATGCGCCTCATGGTCTCGTCTGAAACTGCGTTATCTGTTTAAAAAAAAGTAAATCTAAACATTGAGTGTACACTGAATGTCACCACGTGTCAATCAAGTTATCCCGTCAGGTAAAGACTTTGAGTTGAAATGGTGGCTTTCTTAATGCCAAGGTTTATAAAAATGATCTATCAACATGCAATCCTTTGAGTACAGCCTGAAAATGGTTCATGCTATTTTGCCCTTTTTTGGATTAAAAGTTGACTTCTGCACTACAGTTGTTCAATACACATGCACACAAATGCCTTTAAACAGAATTGACTATTTCAGCGTGCATATAAAAAGGCCGCGATGAGCTTCCCAGTCTAAGTCCCTTTGGCAGTAAATCCTCACCCATCCACAAGTTCCCCGTAGTAAGCCGTCACCGTCTTGATCTTTTTGTTCAGGAAATTCTGTTCAATCTCCATCCGCCCTCCGGGGCCAGCTAAAGATGCCAACTAAGCAAAAAAAACAATGTAGAGAATTGACAATTCAATAAAATTGCATCCAATGATCTGTTTTGTGTGATCCATGCTGCGTTATCGCGTACATTTTATCTCTGTAAATATTGTACAACTCTCTTATAAATTTACGCAGCATTCGGTTGTCTCACCTCCCCTGAAATTTCCTTACATATTGTGAGATTTAGGTAGCAAAGTATAAAAAAGTAACTGACCTGGTCCACATTTGCGTTCCTTGGAACGAAGAAAGCGATATTCTCACTTATCTGTTTGGTCTTCTCAAACAGCTTGAATGTGGATTTCTGTTAAGGAAAAACCTTTTGATATGAATTTCAAGCCTAAGATACTTTTAACTTGACGAGAATTGATGTTACGATCGGATAAAATGGCAAATTAAACTTCTCAAAGATTCACATAATAGAAAGGCTAACCCTAGTCTTCCCACATCTTTCGAGAGTGATTTTGAAAGATTTTGTAGGATTGAGGAGGGTCAAACCCAGCCACTGTGACTTTACAAAGAATGTGCTATTGGTTTCCAGTACGGAGGAGACTTTTGCAGGATTCGGGAAGGTTCCTTGGCACTATACAATTTTTACGCATCACAATTTTGCCAGTCAAAGCAGGAACTCAACCTAGTGAGAGCTTTCCCCAAAGGATATCCATCCAGGGGCATCATGGTGGTAATGTCATACACATCGGCCTGCAAGTAGTTCGGCCCACCCCAGGGAGGGCTCAGGAATACCACATCGGCCTTGAGGTGATCAGCCAGAAGAAAGTAGTCCCCCTGTATGAACTCAATGCGGTCTGCCACACCGTAGACTCCAGCATTGTGGCGTGCACACTCCATCTTCACTGGATCAATATCTATTGCTATCACTGTATTAAAAATAAACAAAACAGTGACACGGTAATACCAGTTGTTAGGAAGTTGTTGCCACTTAACTCCTAACGACACCCCCTCATGGTATTATCTTAAGCACATATAGATATATCAACCCCCCAAAAATAAGGTTTTCTAAAGCAGCCAGTTTTCTGCATCGCTCTTGGTTAAAAACCATCAGCATTTCGATATTACGAAAAGTCCACTGAATTACAAAAAACAGAGTACACAAGGTTCTAAACCTGTAGTCCCGGAAGTCTGTGCCGATCCCAGATTGGAAACTTTTTCAACTTACAAATTAACCGTGCCAGCCTCTGCTGACAGGGTTTCTTTGGACGACATTCTGTTTATGTCGAGCGTGCTGAAAAGACGTCTGATTTGAAAAAAACACGGGGTCACAGCTGCACAGCTTTCATTGTGTGTGAATGCGCTTGGCTGTTAACTGGTTGACAGGCATCCAGCCAGATGGTAGACACCATTTATTTATTTATTTATTATTATTATGAATGGTTTATTTGAATGGTTTATTTATTTTAACTGTATTCCTCGCCGCCAGGGGCAGAATTGTGAAAACTAATTCCTTTTCTGAGATTGGTACAGTTAGCACCAATCCACGACACGCTGAACACGCCAGGCTTTTCAGCACAGTTGCCACACTGATAACATATCAACAAAAGTCATGCTATGAGAGTTTCTTTTGGTAAAACAAGAACAAATTGACTCTGTGAGAGTTCTGGCTTTTCTTATTCAGTCTAACCTTAAATGGGAAAAACACATCCAACAAATTGTTAAAAAAGCGTATATCAGAGTGCATATGTTACGTCAACTGATCCCATTCAACCTGCCTAGGTGTGATCTCATTACAATATGCATAGAGTACAATCGGCCGCTTCTTTGAGTATGCTGCACCTGTTTTGCATCCAGGTCTTACTCGAAGCCAAACTCACCAAATTGAAAGGGTGCAGAAACGAGTGTTACGTTTAATTTTAGGCATGCAGTATCAAACATACGAAATTGGTCTGAGCCTTGTTCAACTTGAAACACTCTGTGATAGAAGGATTAGACTTTGCTTAAAATTCGCTCAGTCACTTGCGAAATCTCCTCAGTTTCGTCACTGGTTGCCATTACATAATGCCACATCTAGGAATTTAAGAAATCGTAGCTCATTTAAGGAAGTCATGTGAAAAACGGAGGGGTCTAAAAATAGCCCGATTCCCTTCTTTACCCGTCTTTTGAACACACGTAATTAAAACTATCCCGCCCTAGACCATCTTGGCTGATAACAGTTACCGCGGAGATTCGCTATTTGTATTTATATTTAATTCTTTTTAATTTAAATCTCTGTATATTGTTTCTTGTATTTAATACTATCCTTGTGAAATCATGTGCAATTCAGCCTGTTTGGCTGCAATGATGATTGAATAAAATACCATAATACCTAATGCATGTTTGGAAAGGGTTGACAAATTTCGCGCGTTATTATTGGCCAACGTGTTGCAAACTCTTAGTGGCGCCCTATTATGAAACGCCCGTATTCTTGGTATTATCTATGGTGCCACTGGTAAACTGATTCTTTTGATTCCAAAGGTCATGAAAGCCGCATAAACATGTATACCATACCTCTCTCGCAGGTGAACGCAAGCTGTATTGCATTTCCTCCAACGCCACAGAAGGCGTCGATGACCAGATCCGAGCGGCATCGCTGGGCCTGGTGTTTGGCTATCTTCTCAGGGGTGACCGAGTACCAACCCTCTGTCAAAATAAAGGAAAAGAACTCTCGAAAAAAGATACCTGAAAGTCTCTGATGTACAAGTTCCTTCCATTTGCACTGAACAGCCAGAAGTCCATTTGATTTCAAGATTTTACAACCACTGCTAGAATTTGTTTACTCCAAATGAGTACAACTGTTCAAACTCATTGCTTGGTTACAGTAGATGCCCATCTGGTGAGTATAAACAAACTTTGACCTGACCAACATCAGGAGACGCTGTGTTAGGTGAAGGATGAAATGAACGAAGGGTCTCGTTAACCATACCCGAGCAGATCACAGCGAGAAAGAGGGACATTTGATACTTTTCTTTTTGAGTAAAAACTTTTTGAATTATTTATTTGTTCATTTTCATTGACTGTCAGTAAATTACCATCTACGCTTTACCTTCATCCATCTTGATCCCATGGTCAAACCTAGAGAAAAGACGGTAACGTTGCGCCCAGTATTTCATCATTACAGGGTTGGCGCTGATCTCTGGGTAGTCCGCAAGTCTCGAATCTTGAAACAGAGCTGTTGATGTCTCCATCTCCACAGCACCAAGTGAAGTCTCTTCATCTGCAATCCTAACATCTTGCAAACGATTCCTGGATGACCAGTTGATTTCCTCAGATTCTGCTCTCTGACCCTCTGACTCTTGCTCCGCAATCTCTTCAAAGGAGGTAACCTCTGAATTCTTTGACAACCCACGATCAAAACTCAGGTTTCCCTGTTCTGCCTTTTGACAGGCTGCCTGTCCTGCAAAAGTGTCAAAGTCCTTCGTTTCATCTTCTTGGCAAACAGAGGATGAATCTGCTATCTCCTCTTTAGAAGTTTCTGAAGTACATTGCACCTCCCCGACAGTTTCATCCTTTCCTCTCGTCCCCTGAAGTTGACCAATTTTGCCCTCTCTTTGGCTACTCAAGAACTCCTTCACCTTATTGAGCGTCTTACTTCCTCTCATCTTGCTCGTTTTGGATCTCTTTGAGCCCTTTGACTGTTCTTGCTGGATCTCCGCATCCTCAGCAGCCCCCACACCATCCTCTTCATCAAACCAGATGTGAATGGGCTCCTTCCTCATGTTCAGCGATCTGGATTTCTTCGTCGCCCCTCTCCGCAGGTAGCTGACTTGCACCGAGGAAAACTTCTCCTGGCCCCGGAACCTTTCACAACAAATGAATGTTTGTAAAGAATCAAATTTAGTGGGTAACTGTCCGGTTTGCAGCCTCAAGCTGCCAGTTTGAAGTTGTTTAATGCAGGGGTCATGACTTCTCAGGATATGGGCCTCTAGCTGGCCCAAGAGAGGGCACTATTTACTTAGCAACAGAGGCTCTTTTGGTCAGAACTGAATGTCACTAGTAAACTAACGACTAGGAAATGCATGCGTCACAGTTGCATCACTACAAACAAAAATGAACAGTCGTGACCAACGAAGCTCTTTTCAAAGGATTCCAGACTTCAAGAACAACTCTTCATCTCTATACCTCATCCCTATTAATGCCCACAACTATTATGAAGAAGCAATGTCCCAAGCCTATTACATCAGGAAGATTGCTCGATATTGACAGGGTCACAACTTACCTCTTCGACTCTGGGTCCGAGCTCAGTCCAAGTTGTTTCAAGACATCTCTGTTCTCCACAGTATCAGCTTCCAATTCGTGGCTAACAGAAAAACGACCACATGAACAGATATGCCATTGCTTCAATGCCTTTTCAAGCTCAACACCCTATGTTTTGTGTTGAACCCCTTCCTAAATCCTACAAAACCCTCCCACTGTCCAGAAAAAAAGTAATGCCAAATAATTTGTCCTCTAATTTCTGTAAGACATCAAGCTCCATGTACAGTAATGGAAGCTGGGCTCCACCTTCCTCAATGCTCAAATAACATTGTTATTAAGAAATCATCATAGATTTTGAAGGAAGTGGGAGGGTTAAGACGAATCTACGAGTACATTCCTCATTCACGCAACGACATTTTGTTCTTCAGTGAGATCAAGCTTTTTGCAACTGCTCCAACCTTGAGCAAGATTGCCAACCAGCCAATTCTTGGCTCCTTGAATCTTCGCAACTAGCTAGAGCAGTTAATTCAATCCATTACATGAGCATACAATAGGAACCGTGTGGTGCATCTGCACGTATGCTCATGGACCTAGCCAATCAAGCCTCAGGGATGAGAAACAGCAGCCAGTAAGATCACTGCATCTCAGAAGTCACTGCACTTCTTTGTTCAATGAGACCAGATCACGGTCCAGCCTTCCAGCAATCCAAGGGATTAGACCTACCCATTAATCTTACCTCCTCTTCATTTTTGTTGGCCTCTCTTCTGGTGGCTTTTTACCGTCCCCTCCCTGTCCAATACCCTCACCCCCACCACTGGAACAGAGTATTCCACCTGCTAGCCCTGTAGGATCAATAGTGCGCTTGGTTTTGTTAAATATTTGACTTTATATGATTTTTTGTTGGGAAAAAAGCATGCAGCAATAAATACAAATTAACCTGTAACGAATGGGTGAAAGCGCCCTCACGACAAACAAGCATCAGCCTAGCAACAGGGTCCATTGAAATCAACGTACCCTCTTAGAACTGTTGATGTAAAAACATGTACCGTGCTGCTACGTAAAGCTTGAACAAACCTACAGTCCACATAATGTACAGTTTATATACTGACCCGTTTGCTGAGAGCCGTCTGTTCTATCTCCACTTCCCAGTGATTTCTGGGTTTGCTTCTTCCGTTTTGACTTCCCGTCAAATGGCTCTCTGTCAATGTCACTATTAATATCATCGTCATCACTGTCAAAGTTTGACATTCTGTCATTCCAAGCAGTGTCAATACGGCAATTCAGCACATCTACATGTTGGTGATTATCACATCCACTGGCGCAATCTTTCTGTAATTGGATGATGGCACCAGCTGACATCTTTGCATATTCTGATTGGTCTCCCAACTCATCTAGTGGGAGCTGATTGGCTGCAGAGTTGCTTTTGCCCTGTTGTGATTGGGTATCATTACTACGCAAATGTGGCACCGACAGCTCTGATTGGCTGGTCAATGCACATGTTCTGTCTTCTGATTGGCTGGCCATACTGTCTGGCACCAAGTGTTCTCCATTCTCAGAACAGCTACTCTTGATGGTAGCATGGTAACACTGGTGATAGTACCAGTAGACTTCTCCACAATGTTCATCCCACAAGCGACTCCATTCTGAAATCCATCCATCTGCCGTGCTCGGAGATTCATAAACAACATTTTCATTATTTTCTCGGGACGCATCTTTCCCTGAATCTTCTCGATTTAATCCATCCAGTGGTTCTTTGCAACTCTGACAAGAAGAATCACTTTTCACCTGGTTTGAAAGTCGATGGTCTTCAGCTGAGCTATTCTGATCTTCTGTCAACAGGCCACATCCATCGGTAACATTGGTCTTTGGCTTTGTTGAGTGATCCTCCAGAGAAATGGTCGAGACATCTTGAGCAAGGATTGAGTCTTGACACAAATTATGCAACTGGTCTTCACTTTGTGGAAAAGACACAGGCTGTGAGGCAACCAAATTGGACACCGGGCGTTCTCCTTGACCTCCAGAAGGTGAAACTGATTCAATATCTGACACTTTCCTTGCATCTGACTGGGACGGGTCATCTGACAACTTGAGCACATCCTCTGTGCACGTACCCTCCACAGTGTCTGCCTTGCTGTGAGCTGTTAGTTCCCCACTGATTTTCTCTTGTACTTGATGTTGTCCATCTGACCGCGTGGATGGTGCTTCGATGTAACCATCCCCAACTACCTGATCTGGATATTTCTGGACCCAGTTCTCCCAGATGAGAGTTTCTCCATACGTTTCCCAGTACTTCTGCCATCCACAGTTATCATGTGCCTCTTTTGTTGCTGGGATACAATCACCATGGCAACACTCGTCTTCAGCCGTGACAGCAGACCAGCTGCCAGGCGACGGTGCTTCACAAGTATCCATTGCCTCCTCTGGTCCTTCCGCGACATCCAGTGCATTGGGGCAAATGGTTGTCTCCAAGGCAGGATGGGAAAGGTCAAGGTCATGACTCCAAACTCTTTTCTTTTTCTTCTTGTTTCTCTTGTTTGCTTGCTTGTTTCTGTACCTCACTTTGGGTGTGAAATCATCCTCCTGTCAAATAAAAATTTATGTCATGTAATCATGCCTGTCGCCCCCAAAACATCTCATCTTCTGAGCCACATGCCATTCAAGCGCTCACAGAAGTCTGCTGTGTTTAATCTGACATTTTCTCTAAATTTTTTATTTATCAACTCATTAGTCACAAGATGTAAAGTGGAAAGAACCAGTGAAAGGGGCAATACAGGCCTCAAGTCAAAGAACACAAAGCTTGAAATCTCTGGATGTGGACCTGTTGCCTTCTAACTGAAAGTAAGGCTTTTAAAATTAGACTTAACACTTTCAGGACACAAATACATTGTTTTTAAGATGTACAAATACGTTGTTAATTGATTTATGAATGTGACATGAGTTGAAAAAAGAGCAAACCTTGTCAAAATCTTGAGGTGACCTGACAAAACTGAGGGGCAGTCCCATTTCTCTCATCACCTCCTCTTCTGATGCGAATTCTCCATGGAACGGCAAACTAGGCTTGGTGTACGGACTCGCAGCCACGCTTCTTCCATTACCTCTGCTGACCGAGGTGGATTCCACGTGACCTGATGAATATTCATGCTGCTCATCACTCTGTGTTGGTGTGACATCATCATTACCCGACTTGGCTTGGCGAATATCGGCACTGAGATCAAGAGCAGAATCTGATTGGTTGGTGATGACATCAGTGCACTGAAATTGGCTGGTTCCGGTGTGAGCTCTGTCCAAGTCATCGTCTTCCTCACTATCCTGTAATTCAGCTTCCGCATTTTTGAGTTTTGACAGCTCAGGCTTGCCATACAATCCCCACTCATATAGTTTGGTATCGCTGTAAAAAACCAGAGTGCTGATCATACTACGAGTCAATTCAGTATTCTAACAGCACATGCTCAAACTAAAGTGGGTCCAAAGTCATTTAAGAACAGCAATAAGTGTGCATGGCCATATGCCGACTTTCACATGTGCTTTGTCCCTGATTGACTTGTCTTTTTGATAAACGGGACTTGAGGATTTATCAAGACCTTTTTTACATGGATGTCCGTTGAATGAATTTTTTTGAAATGAATTTTTTGAGATACTGGAGAATTAAGAGATATTCTCTACTAAATTTGGCTAATTCAATTGTGGCCACACTTTGAGTGGCCACAATGCACAAGTTTGCCTTTTGCGACAGTCTCACCTGCAGAACGCTCTCGTGCACCTCACCGACACTTGGGGGCGCTGTACATCTGGATTCGGCGACATAACAAACTGAAGCTCTGCTACGCAATGAGGGAAGCCATGCTCTGCCATTGGAGCTTCATAAAAAAATAGCAAATCAATCAATTTATGTGACCAGTTTGGACTGCTACTAGAAGCCTGTTAGGGATCATCAGAATTTACCAGTAACCATGGTAACAGTGTACAAAACAAGAGTGAGAGCATGAACATCAAAGCGGTAAATACTACCAGGCACTCTGAATGAAACTGCTTCAAATCAAATCTGACAAACACGTCTGAAGGTACTGTGCACAGAAAATGGGCGTTTTCTTAGAATTTATTGACGTAAAAATTTGAAACACATTGGACCTGTAGTGGATTACGCAGACAGACGTCAGGTAAATGAATAGTTAGACCTACGTTCCTACTCGACACTGTCTCCCCACTACCGCTCGAATGCAAGCTGCCCCACTAGGCTTATCAAGAGAGTCTGTCATGCCTGTTGAGATGGCAAAAAAGTGCTCCTTTCTCGGGCTCAGCCAGGTTATCGCTGTTAGGCACGGTCAGTCAATCAGCGCAATTGCATTGCAGTATCAACGGTTGATTCTGAATGAAATCGCCGACTTCCATGACTTGACATGTAGGCCTACGGGGACAGAAAAAGGCAGAACTTTTAAGCGTACCCAGTCATCAGATATTAGAGAAGCAAATCAGTATGCAGATCCAGTTACGGCCGACTAATCTGACAAAATACCGGTAACCTTTTGAAGTTATGATTGTGTCAATCAAGATCAATGCACGTTGTACATGTACTGTATGTTTACAAGTTACAACCTAATGAAACGATCCGCATGCGTTTTCCACAGAGCGCCCTCTTGTGTTCAGAAACTCATAGTGGGCGAGCGTGTAAGTTGCATAATTTACCCAAATATTAAACTTCATAATAATAATTTGAATCGTCCATCAAATGCACCTAGACCTTTCCTAATACTGGAACATGATCCTCAAAATGATCATTTTGCAGGGGGATTGGTTAGCAGATGGTTCACGTACGCCCAATCCCGGTCCCACGGGCGAAAGCTACCGAGCACTGACCGAAGAGAGGGAATGAGATGAATACAGGCAAACAGGCACTAGAGTACTCCGCTAAAGTGAAACAAGAGTAGGCAGGTAGCCATCAATGACGGAAAATCAACCGAAAAATTCAAAGCTAAATGTAAAAAGCATATGACTACATGCAAAAGATTTCTAAACTGTCTACTCAATTGACAGTAGACAGAAATGTCAATTTAATACTAGTAGGACTAGGCCTATGCCAATTCTGCCTTGCCCTAAAATCTCATCAACAGCCTTTTCACAATTACTTTGACATCTGTTTCAGCTTTCCATGTAGGCAGGCTTTATGTTTTCTTAATAATATAAGCACAGAAACCCTTTTCAAACCTTTGCTTTCCACTGTCTGAAAAGTTACCCTAGCTCCATCGAACGGAATCAGTTCTGGTCGCACACGATGATCGATGATGTTGCGTATGGTGTTCGATGGTTGCACATATCTAGAACTTGGAAGCATGCACTGTTGATTTAAAGGTTCGTGATATGATTTTTTCTTAGAAACACTTTCTGTGCATCTGTAACTCTTCTTCAAATCCACGAACTGTTTGACATCCTCATGAAAAATTTTAAAAACATTTAAAATACTCAAGCTTTTACGAACAACTGAGGGGGTTGTTGCGGTGAAATCGGGGAAGACACCATCCCGTTAATAGGCCTATGCCTTTGTCTTCCAAATACTGACTCATAAATAGACTCATTGAAAAGATTTCTAAGAAAGTGATGTTCTTTAAACTTACAAAAGAAATGGTATTTTGCGGTGGCAGAAAAATGATATAATTATTCCAGCGGTTTGGCTTAGACCCCGGCATCATAATTTAGGTCACGAATTATGGAAATTATTAGCATAAAACCTATAGCGGCTCCAAAATACCCTTTAATATAGCTAAAAAAAATGAAAATAAGGTTAATTGAAAACTCAAAGATGCATTTTCAAGAGTTGTAATACAATAATTGCATTGCATGGACCCCTTTAAAACTGGAAACAAAACAAAATTGTGTAATTTACTCGTTTCCTTTTTAAATCGTCCAATTTTGTTTTTGGTATTAATAATTTATGTGTGTGTTGTCACACGTTACATTACGGAACTAGATTTTTAAGCAGGGCGGGGGGTTGTTTTGATTACAGATCAATTAAGTAGTCGTTTTTCATTACGCACGCAAATGGGAAACGGCAATTTCGATGACAGAAATGTCTTGCAACCTTCAAAAGAAACAAGCTTGGGGATTTAACTATAAGCATCAAAGGCAGGGATCTCGTGTGAGAGCTACTAGGCCCACCGCCGCGTTGTATAATTAACAGTAAATTGCTAATTAGTTTAATTGGTGTTATTTCATATCCCTAGACCAAACAAGAGGTTAAGTCCAAAGGAAAGTTGGAATTAAAACAGATTTTTATTATTTGGGCGTAGATCGGGTGTAGGATCTCGCAAATTAAACCTTAGCTCACTCGATGCATCAGTTCCTGTTGGGTGTGTAATTTTGTCACAAGGTGGCGCCGTGCCTCAAGTCTTCAACCACGAACCCCAGTCGATTCTGTCAATCTCTTCACCATTAATGGGTGTAAAATAAGAACTTGAGCCGATACCCTCGGGGGATTAATAAACCTAGCCGGTGTGACGGCTACAGCTCATCGGGGGCCACACACGGCGCACAGACACGGCCCGACCTTGCCACCCACATTGCGGATGGTTGCGTGAAGGATCTGAGTATTTTTAGCAATAGGGTCGGCCTGAACTTGGAGAACTTCAATTGGAACTGGCAGACTGCACGACCGCAAAATTCTCCAACAATGGGTCTTCGCCTTAGAATTCCAACTCCCCCGAGACAAAACCGAGGGATACGCAGTGACAGAAATACTTACCGACATAATTATCCCAACAGAAGTTTTTTGGGAGCATTTCTACATAATATAAAGGGGTGAACTCATATAAGTTCCTGCACTCCCACTTAAAAATAAATAAATAAATAAATAAATAAATAAAAAAATGGATGAAAAGAGTTTCCCAACATACGGTCAGGTCAAAGCTTCTTTAAAACGAAAAGAACTTACATTTGTCCGTCATCTAATATTGTTTTATTATATTTTGCGCCGCACACGAAGATTGGTAAATCAATAGTTGGCCCCTAGTTTAAGATATCTGCAATAACTGGGTCACGTTCCAATCTCATTCCTGATAATTTCATCTTTTGCTAATGCTAGAAATCGAACAATTACGACTGAAAACTTTCAGTTGGCACATTCCCATAACATGGACAAAACTTCGAAGTACAGAACTTTTTTGGTGTCTTTCTGTAGGAGGGATGGAGGCTTACAATCAGTCAGTTAAATGGGACCGCCATTTTGTCTCCCTCCGGGATCGGGGAGGGGCGTGTCTTAACTTCAGTTTGGCGCCGTCACATCTGTAGCTTGGGCCCTTGGGAACAGTCCCGTCAAAATCCGAATCGGGCTTCGCAGTGCCGTTCTCAGATTCTACATCGATGTTCTATTTCATTTTTTTTTCTGTTGCAATAACTCAAATTCTGGCCGTCGAGGAAGTGAATGTTGTCTTTAGTTTTCTGTTCGTGGGAAAATAAACCAGACCCAAATGGGGAAATTGTGCAGCTCACTCGATGACACATTTTTGGCGCAATTGAATATGATAATGGCCATTAGTGACGACGGCGCTCGCACTGTTCAAACAAACCACGCCATTAAACAATACATTCTGTGTCGTCCACATATCCAAGTCGTAAACCTATCAACCAAATCTAGTTCAGCCATAAACAACAACATGAATCATTTTTGTGCGAAAGAGACAAAACTGTAGAAATAAGAATTGCTGCTTTTTCTCTCTTTTTTTTAATGTACCTATCATTCGGAAGTCAATGGGGATTATAATAGCCCCCAGCAAATTCTTTAGGGCTATTCTTAAAATTCTTGAAAATTCTTAATTCTTAAAAAAAATGGTAGAAAAGTGATTTCTGTTGTATATATCCTTGTCCTTCCTTCCAAAAGCGTGTAAAAAGCACCAAAAAGTAGCCTCAACCATCAGGGAGATAATTAAAGGTTTTACAACAAAATTCCGACATGTTGGAGCACCCCCCCCAAGTTAGGTTTCGGATCCGCCCCTACTACCAGACTATTGCTTGTCCAAATTTTGGCGCGTTCCACCTTCAGCGAAAGAAATTTTGGGCTTAAAACTATCAAAGTTGCACCTGTAATATTCTGTGGTTGTGTATGTGAGTATAATTTTAGAAGAGCGAAAAAGTAAAGTTTAAATGTATTTTTGTGCAGCTTCCCATTTTATGCTTAAAGATTTTTCCTGAAACTTTTACTGATTTTGTCGTCCTTCTCTGTAGTTGATAATTCATCTCAATGTTCAGTCTCTTTTGTTTATTTACTAACTTCTTTATCCACGGTGATTTGCACAGTGTCTGTTTATGGCTAACTGCACAGGGCGTGTAAAATTCGATTGGTGTGATGAGCACGAGGGCGGTAGCCCAAAGGGACCATCGAAGTTGAATAATAACAGCTCTCCGTAGCAAGCGACCTCGGGGTTGAAGTAACACGTATCTAGGACGGGTGAAGAACATCCGAACCGGTTCGAGGAATATGTCAAAATCGTACCTCAAACGGGAGTCCCGTTTAGAATTCGGAAAGACATGAAGACTCTTGTATCGTGTTCGAAATAATTACGACTGCAGCCAGAAAAACACCCCAAGCTCTCCTACATTCGCCGCTAGCGCTCGGCGTCTCTACCTCTCTACGCTGAAAATATGGCACAGCAGGCTGTGGAAACGAGGGTGCGCATGCGCGCAAATGCTGTCCTGACAGGTTTCTGGGATCAACCCTCCGATAGAAAAACCTTCTCATAGCTGGGAGCGTGTCCACCCCCTTCGAGATTTTCGTTATCCCTTGACCGGTCTTTATGGTTGCAGAACAGTATAATTACATGCATACCCCCACATAAAAAAAAAATCAGGAAATTTACTCATAGTTTTCACAGCTGTTCAAGACACATATCAAATTAAAGCTCACTTCCTCGTCTTTCATTTTCCTATTAATTTTCAGTGGCTTAACCAATTACTGTTGAAGATAAATCTCTCCAGAGATAAACACCCCTCAAAACAGCTATGACGCCCATCGCCATTTTGAAAATTGACGCCTACACTCCATTGCAATAAAGAGCGATTTGGATGCCTCTTTTTTTCCTCATACATTCAAAATACAAGCTGGCCGTCTTGCTGGTAGATTCCATTCTCCTCTAGGCCTATAGACTAATCCGATTAGACGCCATAACTGCAGTGGCACCGCACTCACACGCACATTCTTCAGCTTGACGCGCGCGTTCATTTGGCAAATCACGACACCCTATTGGTCGAAGAGGCATGTAACGCGCGCGTACCACCTGTCCACGAGCCATGTGCCACCGCAGTAATGGCTTGTAATTCTGGTGGTCGAATTACACTATAAAGCATCCAGTCCACGTAATGCTCAGGGGCCAATTTCATAAAAATGCTTAAGCACAAAATTTGCTTAAGTGAAAAGAAACCTTGCTTAACAAACAAAGGTTACCAGCTCAAAATCTATGTGATTGTCATGCTAACCAAACTACAGGTGAATACCATTACAAAACAATATACATCACATGGAGATTTGGCTGGTAACCTGACTTTCCAAGCAAGGTTTTTTTCACGCGTAAAGCAAATTTGCAGCTCTATGAAATTGGCCC